ATCGCTGCATATAGGCCCTCCAGCACTCTCAGTCCCATACTGCGGCTCAGGGACGAGATCCAGGAGCAAGCACGCCTCTGGGCCTCCCGCCGCCCATATGATGGCCTAGCTGTCTTCGTGCAACGGTACGTTGACACGGACTACGACCAGCAGGGCGTTCATGTCAGACTGGCGATACTGCAACCAGACTTGCTGACGGCCATCTCAATGGCGTCGGTTAGCAGAACCTGGTGCGCAGCAGTGCTCCCCCTGGTTCAGCACAAGCTCTTTGTAAGTCCTTACCGCACGGCCAGGGCAGCAATGTCTCTTGACCTACGCGTCATGGTCCAGTCCTTTGACACGCCCCAGTGGCACCTCGCGTCTGAAGAGCTCACCATCCACATTCAGCACAGCAAGCACGTCGTGGTGCAGAAGTTCCTGAACCCCCTCAACCAAGACGGGCAAGCAGCAACAATCAGCAGAGGCGAAGAGGTTCACAGTGTTCTCTATGACCACTACTACAGTCTCCTTTGAGAACTTGTGAGCCACAGGGATGTCATCGACTCATGCTAGGAATATGGCACAGCCTCCGCTTAGGTGTGGCACAGCCACCCAACTAGTCACAGTCCGAGATGTGTTGCCCACCTGCCCTGAGAAATTGATCTTGCAGCATGCCTGAACCCAGCTACTGCTGCATCATCGATTGCTCTATCCTGCAATCCGAGGCCCCAGCTACCACATGGCACCAGCAGTCCTCGCTCGCGTGCCCTCTGCTGATGTTCTTTGTCTCCAGTCGTCCTGCGTTGCCCTGAGCTTCGTGCTTGGCCATAAGACTCTGTAATGCTGTGCATGCATACCGCAGCTGTCAGTTCGAACTGTCGATACAGTAGGCAGCAGCAGAAGTACAGCAGCTTGCTCTAAAGACATGCCTTGCAGAAGCTAAGACTTCAGAACAAACTGCGACTCCGCGAAGAGCACAGCTCACCTCTTGGCCGCGTGTCACAGACTCTGGCCCATCAGCTAAAGCTGAGACCATGGACACCCCTCCAAGTTTGGGACCCTTTCTGGTGCTCAGCGATAGCACCTTGCAGCACATGCTGCGGGGACATACGTACGGAGTGTTCCCATTGCTGACGGGACAGGTCTTAAGCTGTCCAGGCGCCGCCCTCAACATTTCTGCTAGCAGCGTCCCCTCCATCATGGAGCTCCTCCACTGGCAATTTGGCCTCTTTGGGCCGCACAAATTCAAGGCGGCGGTTCAGAGTCAGCCGGTGGCCTCCATTTTGGAGAGCCACCTTGATGGACAAATCAACGTTCGCTTCATTCCGCTGTCAAGAAGCTTGCGCCCGGAGAAGCAAGTCAATTATGACTACCTGATAGACGGCAGGGTCCAATATGGTTTTGCGGACAAAAACCTGCCCAATCAGGAAATCATGGATTTGGCACAGATACCTGGTGTAGGAGGGGTAGAATGGCTTTACAACTCCAAGAATCTCCACTTCCGCCCCGATGTTGCGGACATCGTCATCCCGGCACTTGTCACAAGAGCCATTGAGGAAATGCGCAACACCCCAGGACTGCCTGTCCTTGTGGTTGCTGGCTGGAATGCTCGCCAGCAGGACATGCATGTCGAAATGCTTGCAGCCCAGGCTCTGTCACAATGCCGAACTGTCCGAGATCTTTCGGAGGTTGCCATGCAATACGGACATGGCCCCTGGGGAATGCGCTTCATGCATCTCCCAGAATGGGAGGCCGCCCCCGTCCCGGCCCTCCTCTTCCAGACCTATGTCCACGACGACAAGCCGGAGCCAGCCCAAGTTGCGGCCAAAATGTTTGCAGGCTTCACCCGCAAATTCTGTGACGATGGTATCCTTCGGGCTACCCTGCGGCAACTTGCCGGAAAGTACGGCTCCAATCTGCTGGACCGCCTCAGTCAACCTGCTCATAGAGCTGACGTGTTCCGCTACGTCTACCACTACCAGCACGGCGGCCTCTATGTCGATATCAAATGTGGCTTTGTGGTACCCTGGGAACAGGTACTGAAGCTCCTGGCAGCAGATTGGAGCACAGCTCACTCAACGAAGGCAGGTGAAGTGGGTCACAGACCCTCCCCACCTGGCCAACTCCCAAAGGAGTTCATGGTCATGGCCATTGGAGTCAAAGGAGATCACATCTTTCAAGGCATCATCTATGGCAAGCCCAGGCACCCTTTGATGAGGGAGGCCATACAGCACGCCTTCAGCCGTCAGGTTATGACAGCGAAGGCGAACCTGGAATACATGATCTTCTGCAAATTTCTCTGGCAGATCTTGAGTCGAGACCTTGGTCATTCCCCTCAAGCGGGCTGGAATGTTTCCGCCAAGTTTGGCCCCATCTACCTGTTCTCGGAGCGTTGGGACAAGCGCGTGAAGAACAAAAAGTATGACAACGATGGCCACTACTTTGTGACAGCCAACAACACGACAGTCGCCTACACCAGGTGCTGGAAGTGGATGAAGGGCTTTCAGGGAGACCCCACCACCAAAGAACGAACCGATCGCATGCTGCAGAGCCAGCTACCCGACATCTCCCTGGAAATCCAGTCCGATCGACCTGAAGAGCACAGCTCACCTCAGCCACTTAGGTCACAGACCACGGCAACCGCCACATCAGCTCCTCCTCCTCCTACTCAGGAGGATATTGAAACCTATGTGGCAGACAGCATCCAGCACAACTCCTTTGCGGCGCTCATGGCCACAGTCCGTGAGACCCATCACTATAACCAAGATCTTACAGAGCAGGATGTGCTGGAGCTCATCCCTCGCGGCTTGGGACAAATGGAAGTATCAGGATCCATGTGGCTGTGCTGCCTCCACTGCCGGAAGCATAACCGACAGATCCAGTTCAGTACTGGCCACGGCCTCAAAAACCACTTTGTCACGCAGAAGCATGACCCGGTGTCACAACCTGCGGCACCAAGCGACTTGTCGGCATCCCTCGCACCTCTTCCTCCCCCTCCCCCAAAGCACCCACAGGAGATTCCTCTTCCCCCCAGCAGTACCAGGACCAAAGGAACAGACAAAGCAGCCGGCTTTGAGCCGCCGCCTTCCCCCCCGTGCCCTTTCACTTCCTCAGCGGCTGAAAAGGCGCCCCAGCGCTTCCGGCTAAGGCCCCACCGTCCATGGTGCCCACCCCATGCCCCCAGCCTCCGGTGAATTCCTCCTCGGCAGCTCCTGCTCCCCCACCGGCTATCCCTGTTTCCCCGATCCCTCCGCACCCTCCCAAGTCCGCCTCTTCCCCTGCGACCCAGGCCGCTGCGCGCTCCCACACGCCCCCTCCTCCTTCCCCCCGTCCCCCGTCAGCATATGAGCCTCCGGAAACCAATGCGGCACCCGTTGGCTATGTTCCACAGCCGCCTCCACAACAGACAGTACGATACACGCGGCAGGAGCTGGCTCAACTGCTGAGCTCCCAGTCCCACCAGGACTGGATTCGGGCCTTGGCTTCCATTAATATCCTGGTGGCTCCAGTCATTCTCGGCGGCCTCACCAACCACGAGCAACAGACCCTCTGGTCTACCAGGATGGACGCACTCCGCGAGGTTCCCCCGCTGTTCTCAGCCATCAAGTCAGTAAGGACACAAACAGGCCTCACATGGGACATCGCCATGTCGGTGAGGCGGGTCCTCACCAGCGATGGGAAGGTCACTATAGCCACAGGCGCGGGAGGAGCCTATCGTGAGCTGGATGCCCCCACAAAGGTGCATGGCCTTATCCATGCCTGCTTCAACAAGATGTGGGACGAGAAGGACTTTCAGCAGCACTTCCCCTCGTGGGTCGAGTTCAACATGATCGCCACTACCATCGTGGCAGTCTACAATGAGACGGCCAAATCAGCCGGACTCCCAGCTCGTGTCTTCAGGGTCAAACCCAACAAAGATGCCTACTCCATCATGAAGATGCGGATTTAGCATGACAAGGGGCACGAGGAAGACAAGCGCATGGCCAAACTGGCTGCTGCTGCCCCCAACAAGCGCCCACAGATGCAAGAGGCTGACACAGAGGGCAAGCGACAGCGCGATGACCCCTCCTCTTCATCCTCGACCCAGTGGGCCAGGCAGGCACGCTCCTCTCAAGAAGACGACTGGGACTGGTGGCAGCAGTGGTCCTGGCACAGTTACTCCCAGCAGTGGCCGAAAGGTCATGACCAGTGAGGGTAGAGATATGTCACAGACTCTTTGATCCCTATGTCACAGACTCTGGGAATTCGGAACTCTTCCGACGCTTAGCAAATCTCTTCGGAAGCCTGTGCACCGCGAGCAAACCTTGCTTAAAACAGCACATCGCTGCCTCAGAGAGCTGCCCACGTCCAAGCTGCCAACAGCCTCACTCCTTCGGAGATGCTTTCAGGTACATGCGGTCATGGGCATATGACCCTTACGGCCTTCTGTCTTCAACATGAGTAATCCGTGTGGGGCGCCACGAGACGGATACTCCAGGTGTCGGCTTCGTCTGAAGTACGGCCTAATTGTTGTGACAGGTGCACAGATGGACGCGTCTGTTCACTCCAAGGTGTCGGAGGAGGAAGCTTTTGTAGCTGTAGTTTTTCAAGTTTGAGCTGATTCGAGAGGTATGAGCGATGCATGCTAGAAGCAGTTTCACGAGTGCACGAGACCAAAGGCGCCCGCAAAGCGCAGAGCACGCTCGCGCAGCGTTCAATTGAAAAATTGGTGGTGGTAGTAGTAGTAGTAGTAGCAGTAGTAGCAGTAGCAGAGCATTAGCACCGGCACTGGCACTGGCACTGGCGATGGAGCCTAGGACGAGGACTAGGACTGGTGCTAGTACTAGTGCTAGTACTATAGACAGCCGCGTGTTGCGGGAGCGAAGGAGTAGGCAGCAGCAGCGGTAGTAGGAGTACAAGTGGAAGTAGACGTCGCAGGAGGAGTTGGGGAGGCAGAAGGGGAAGCAGGATGAGGGTGGTATTAGGAAGATCAGAAGTTCCCACTCCGTCAGCATAAGCAACTTCAGCTCGTCCCCCCAAAGGCCAGTGGCATCGCGACGGAGGCCAAGCTCAGCCATCGCCTCAGATCTTGGCCATGTCCGGAGGTTTCTTGAGGCTGAGGATTCTGGGATTTTGGGAAAGCTGAGGGTCCGGGATCTAAGATTTTAGGTTGAGGCGTGGGTTCTTGCCTTGGCAGCCGCATGAAATCTCAAGGGGCTCTTGCCCGTCTCTTTTTCCGCGTAGCAGACGTTCCAGATCTTGCACGCCAAGACGTTCTTTGTGGCATTGTGGCGGTTGCAAATTCTGCTGCTCCTCTGTCGGCGTTGACCAGAGTGAACCGGCAACGCTCAGTCCTGAACAAGCCCTGGATCCCTGACCGGAAGGTCTGCCTTCCTGATTTTCGTTCCATGAAGTCCGTTTAGCTTCCCAAGATATAGAGTTCTGGAGTTGCAGGAAGGTCCCAAAGCCTTTACGTCAGCTCTGCGAGGGTTTAGTTCGGGCACGTTACATGAGGCTTTGGTGCGAAATGATGAGTGCAAGGTCCCTTGAATTCTGCAGCAACATGTCGTATGAAAGTCTTTTGTGAACACTTAACAACCGCTCTCATTCCACACGATTTTTTACCCGCAAGCCTGAACCTGAGCTAAGGCGGATCGAAGGGCCTTGTCCCTACAGGCGGGTGCGCATTTATCTGCGTTGTTTCATGCTCTTGGTTTTCGACCGGATGTAGGAAGCAAAGTGAGAAAAGTCCGTCGTCATCATCGCATTATGCTCGTTCTCGTCGTCACCGTGATCCTCATCACCACTGCGGTAGAGTGATCGTCTTGGCAGCGGTAACCGTGACCGTCGCTTGACACGTCCACTGAAGCTAGATATCATGCTTTTCACACAGGGGCCAGAAGAGGTAGTGACAAATATCGACGGATACCCTTTTAGTCATTATGTGAAATAAGACATTGAAAGGTTTTATTCTGATTGTCACGGGCCCAATGTTGCACAACCGCTGCAAGCTTCTGCTAGCAGAACCCCACACCTAGAACCCTTAAAGGAACCCTCATAGAACCCCGACAGGAATCCTTGGAGAAGCCCCTGGAACCATCGACCCCTTAAAGGAACCCTTGAACGAGCCCTTCATAGAACCCCAAAGCTCTAAACCCTGTACCCTACACTCTGAACCCTAACCCCTCAGCCTCCCCTCGACCCTGAACCCGAATCCCTCAGTTCTAAACCTTAAAACCTGAAGCCGACCCCAATCCCTAAACTCCTAAACCCTAAACCCCTAAACCGTAAACCCCTAAACCCTAAACCTCTAATCCCTAAACCCTGGGACCCAAAAAAAGGGGAACCCTCGAAGGAGCTGCGGGAGCTACTTCCCGACCTCGCGGGTGTGGCTGCCGGCACCGAACCGGGGATCCTCTCCCTCGAGGATGCCCCGCACGGTTTAGGGGTTGAGGGATTAGGGTTCAGGGTTTAGGGTTTAGGGTTTAGGGGTTTAGGGTTTAGGGTTTAGGGTTTAGGGTTTAAGGGGTTGAGGGATTAGGGTTCAGGGTTCAGGTTTAGGGCACCTGTTGTCTTTTTCAAAGCATAGGGGTTGGCTTATCGTTCACGTACATTATATACAAAAATTGTTTTAAATTTAAAGGGGTTTGATATGGTTTTTGAAAGGGTCTCGATACGGTTTTGGTAGGGTTTTGATGGGGTTTTGATGTGGGTGTATAGGGTTTGTGGAGTCCATAGAAGGTTTTGCTTGTGAGGGCTCTATAAGAGTTCTGTATAAGGAGCTTTTTTGTGTTGGTCAGTCCTTCTAAGCCGCCCAAAGCCCTTCAGTGCCTCTGTCTCCCTAGACGATAGACCCTGGGTACGGCCCCCACTCAGTAATAGTTGAATAATATTCATAATATAGATCTATTAGGACCTTAATAGTAGGCCTATTATAGACTCTTACCGTAGGGGGGCAGTACGTAAGATAGACCCTAATATAGGAGCCGTAATAGTTACCAATACTTTTTTTGGGGGCTCCTTATTACAACTATAGTATATTGGGCCCCCAAACCCTGTTCTAATTATTAAGGCCCCTTTCCTAAACCCTTATAGTAGCCATCATAGTAACCCTTATAGACTCTTTTAAACGGACCCCTTAAAAGGAACCCTATTCAAATAATTAAGGACCCTACATTAAGTCCCCCCCGACTCCCCCGACTGCCTCTCGCTTCGGAGGGTTCGCACCAACCTTGAGGGGGCGGAGAAGAAGGCGCTCCCAAAAAAGAAGACCCTAGGTCCCCAAAAAAGAAGACCCTAAGTTCCAAAAAAGAAGACCCTAAGTTCCAAATCCTGAAGTCCTAAATCGTACGCCCTGCACCCCTGCGGTCCAGGCCCAGACCCCACACCCCAACCCCTAAACCCTAAGCCCTAAACCCTAAAACCTAACCTGAGCAAGCTTCTGACTTTACGCTGTGGAGAAAGGGGCTATTGCACTAAACAAAAGAAAACCTCAAAACCCAAACTCAAACCCTAAACCCTTGAACAAGGACGAAGCTCGGAGTTTGGAATACCTCGCTCCCAAGGAGGCCGCACGGGGACTGGAGTTTTCGAGGGCAAGAGCCAGGGTTCTAAGTAAGGTAGCTATACTTGCTTATTATTTCTTTCAGCCCCAATTAAGGTACTTCTAATCTTGCTTACGAAGTCCCATGAGGGTTCGAGGCTGAGGGCAACAGACCAGAAAGTCAATGACAAGGATGCCGGATGATGCCGGCAGTTTTGGTTCAGATGTAGACCTAAACCCTACACCCAAAGCGATTGAGTTCAGGGGAAGTTCTTGGGGGTTTTGTCATCTCCAGCACTGCTACTGGGACCACGACGGTCACAACTGTAGCAAGCAGAAGAACGGCAAGAGCATCTCCGAGGCTTACGTTTGCTACGGCAACTGGTGCTACCAATTACGGCAACCAGTAAGGGCGAAGATACTAGCTACACGTATGTATGTTTGTACACATAGATCGTTAGATGAGTCGATGATAGTCGCCCACCCTTCTTAAAATTGTGATTTGGGGGGTTACCGTCAGCGCCACCCTGTTACGGGCCCTGGCTCTGGGTACTTGTATTCATATGTTGGGGACATTTTGGGACGCTCGTGGAGCTAGCAGCAGAGCATGGAAATAGATCATACTAGATCATACTAGATCGGTAGGTCGCTTCGTGCATTGCCTGCCATTTCGTGGCCCGTGCTGCACAGATATGAATGGTCGTCCCGGCACGACTGTGTCTGGGTCGCAATCGGTCGCAGAATTCTGCGCATCACTCCTTTCAGTTCAGCCGCATGCGAGCCACTAAGTTACATACTGGTACTCGACGGCGGGGGCGAAGAGAGGTCACAAGTCAGCTAGCAACGGCGGTGTTAGTGGATGCCCTGCCGGGTTGCCGGCAGGCGCTGGAGCTTCTGCGGCGTTGGTCTGAGGCAAGACTCTGGTTCTGAACGCTCAGGGAATCGGAAAGTCGGGCGTGTGTCTAGGCCACATTTCATCCTCGATGCTCACTGGTGCATGCTTCTTTGCGTGGCATCTTGCTCGCTCTATGAATGCTTCTGTTTAGATGGATTCCTGAACATGTACATGTGCATGAACGCATGGGCATTACCCACGTGAGCAGAACCATTTCGGAGGCTACGCGAGGTTCAAGGAGTCTTCTGAAGCCTTGTGTCCTGCCCTTCAACCTCCTAAACCCTTAAACTTCAACCCCCTAAACCCCTAAACCCCTAAGCCCTTAAACCCTTAAACCCCGAAGCCCTAATCCCTAAAAGACCTAAGACCAAAACTCTAAACCCCTAAGAACCCTACTTGGAGGTTCATGGGACTTAGTAAGTACAGTTATAAGTAACTTTAGTGGGGTTATAAGTAATTGTAAGCATAGTTACCTTATTTATAACCCCAGTTACTAAGTCCCATGAACCTCCAAGTAGACCCTAAACCCTAAACCCTATAGATCCCTTTAAGGAACCTCTATAGATCCCTTTAATGGGAACCTTGAAGGAACCCTAGTTACTAAACAGGCTCTGAAGCGGCGAGCTCGGGCTGAGGAGTCCTTAGTCAGCTTCAAGGCTGATCCCGGTAGGTTCCCTTCAAAGGGATCTACAAAGGGCTCCTTAATGGGTTCCTTATAAAGGGGTCCTTAAAGGGATCTATGCTCCTTAATGGGTTCCTTATAAAGGGGTCCTTAAAGGGATCTATAAGGGGTTTGTGACGGTGGGCTAAGCGGGATTCGGGGGTTTAAGGTTCAGGGGTTGGGGGTTTAAGGGGTTCAGGGTTTGAGGGGTTAAGGGTTTTGGGGGGTTTAAGGGTTCAGTGGTTTAGGATGGAGGGTTTAGGTTGTTTTGGGGCGCTTTTCGGGGTACGACGAAACGGGATTCAAAGAGGCCTCACCTGGGCCTCAAAAGGGCTATTGGGAGGGATTTTACGGGCATTTAGGGCTTTGCAGCTCAGGGTCTTGGGGTACAGGGTTTTAGGAATCACGTAGAGCTCAGGCCAGCTTCAAACTGCGAACCTTGGTCCAGAGAATCCCAGGATGGCTTCATTTGTTTTGTGAGTTTGTGCGTTCAAGTTGCGCGTGGAGCAAGAATTCTGTAGAGTGGATCTTCCACCGTCTCTTTCCTGCATGGTGGGGAACCTGATGAGTGGCGTCAGAATTTCGTCCTCCGCATGTAAAGGCTTAAAGTGTAGAGTCATGGAGGTTGCACTCTACACACTTTGTGCAAGAAGCAGGGTGTCTCCAACAGCAGATGAGTCCTTTGAGCTTTGCCTGCACCGGAGAGCCTCAGAAGCCATGCCTGGAGGCTTGAAGGTTTCGCTGGGGTCGTTCTCTAAATTAGGGTCCCTTTGAGGGTCCCTTGTAATTGTTTCGGGGATCTAAAAGGATCCTAATGTAGAAAACTACCCACATGGTGTGAAAGGCTTAGCTGCAAATCCCAAGAGCATTAGAGCCCACAGTGATAAAGTCTTGAAAGTCCGAGGATTACAGATTTCGGGCTCGAGGGTCCGCTTTGTTTCTGGAGGCTCAGTTTCTTCGAAGCAATGCACTGGAAAAGGCGTTCCAGGCCCGGCATCATTTCCGTGCCCGTTTGCGATGCTCAAGGTCCTTCAGGTTTTTAGGCAAGGGAGAACGAACCCTCACTCGGTTGCAAAGGTCTCGCAGAGTTTTTCGTTGACGGCACGCCCGCACACCAGGAACACGGCCCATCAGAGCACCAGTAGCAGGACCAGCATCCACAGCACCGACAGCACCAGCAACACAGGAGCAGCAACAGCAACAACAACACAGTCCTTCCACTTCCGCTCCACCACTCCTGCTACTCCTCCTACTCCCCACTGCTGCTCTTACTCCTACTTTGGCTACTCCGACTGCTTGCACGACGACGATGACGGCTTCCACTGCTCCTATTCCAACTACTACTACTCCTACTACTCCGACGACTCCTACGACTCCTACGACTCCTTCGACTCCTACGACTCCTACGACTCCTACTCCTACTACTCCTACTACTCCTACTACTCCTACTACTCCTATTACTCGTACTACTCCTACTACTCCTACTACTCCTACTCCTCCTACTACTCCTACTACTCCTACTCCTCCTACTACTCCTGCTACTCATACTACTACTACTACTACTACTACTACTACTACTACTACTACTACTACTACTACTACTACTACTACTACTACTGCCACTGCTACTGCTACTGCTACTGCTTCAACAACAACAGCTACTACTACCGGCGACTATAACTAGAACAACTACGACTACTACCACGACTACTACGAATCTTACGATTACGACGACTACCACGACCCTGCCACGCTGTCTTGAAGAGGGCCTTCGCAAGAATGAAGCCTGGAAGCACGAGATGCGAGGGCCTCGGCCATACAGCTTCGTCTATTCGCTGTAACCCTCCGGGCAGATGGACTCGAATGTGACTTCACTGAGAAAAACCGATGGTAGTGGCGGTGATGGCAAGTTTCCTGGTGGGTGTGGTCATGTTGACCGCAACGGAGACTGCGGCGGCGACGAGCAGAATGATGGTGATGGTGATGTTCGCAATGATGGTGGTGATGGTGGCGATGAGAATGACGGCAGGAGGCAGATAGTGGTTGTGCTTGTTCTTGATGTTGTTGTTGTTGTTGTTGTTGTTGCAGCTACTGCTGTCGGTGGTGGTGGTCTGCCAAGCCCGACGCGCTGAGGGCGGACCGCCCGCTCTTTTCAGCGGATGGCTCCAGCCCAGCTGAGGCGCAGCGACGGCTTTCGGTTAGGGCTTGGTTTCGTGCTCGGGCCCTCAACCGTAGCACTGAGGGCGGAGGTGTCGTCTGCAGGCTTGGGTTGAGGTTTTCGGTTGAAATCTTCGATGTTGCTTTCTCTCTAAACCCTAAACCCTAAACTCAAGTCCGTGATCCCCAGTCTAGGCCTCGGAAGGCCCCAAAGTCGACCCTCCAAAGGTTTTCGCCGCAGAGCTCCGAAGCGTGCTGCAGGCCCCAGGGTCTAGGCTTTTGAGTTCCCGGATTCCTTCGAGGGGATTGGGCTCAAGGCTTTTCGAGCGGTTTTGCCAAAGGTTCCCAGCGTTCGGGGCCACAGCGACCCAGCTTAATGTCGGGATGTTGTGGGCAAAAGTCTTGTCGTGGTCAATCGCGTGTTCGACATGTTATTCTTTCAAGAATCGATTGGCACGGCAGGCAACGGCTCTCTACGGCACGCGTGAAACGTGACAGTCAAAAACACAAGGCAACCTAAGCAAATGTCAGAGAAAGGCGCCCGACTTAGCTTGTAGCCGGAGTGAATTTTGGAAGCGCTCGTTGGGGTTCCCGCCACAGTGCAAGTTTTTCTCTGGCCGCTCTTTTCCCCAGGTCCGCGTCTCTCCCCCTGAGCCTTAAACTCTAAACCCTAAACCCCCAAATCGAAGAGAAACCCAAGTGGAATTCCCAGCTCTCCCTGCCGCGGGCTGCCTCGCAGCTGGCGCAGCCGCTGCAGGAGGTGGCAATCAATGTCAACATGTCGCATGACTGGGTTCTTGTGAGGGAATCCAATTGTAGGTATCATAGTTTAGGTCTCCTTTAAGGGTTCTAGATGAGGGTTCTTGTTAAGGAATTGAGTTTAAGTCACCATAACAGAAAATGGATCCCTAGTCTCATAACTTAAATCAAGCTCCTAAACAAGAGCTCAGTTAAGGATAGGGTCTCACAGGGGTTTTGGGTTCAGGGGTTTAGGGGAGGGTTTTTTTTAGCTACCGTAGGGTCATCGCAGGCAGTATTTCCTTGGTCTTGTTACGCTCAGTATTGCTGTCAATACTGCGACGGCTGCTAAGGTGTTTGGTTTCCATGTTGTGGTGGCCCGCTGATCGTTTGTCGGCACCTGTATTCGAGCGATGACTATTAACTACGGTTGATGATATAATCCCTGCATTACCCATATGAAGGACTATACCATAATTTGCATAGTTCAGGGTCCTTAAGGTAATGCAGGCTTTATGTCATCAACCGTATTGCCACTTCCAGCCAGTTGCAATAGAAGGCTTGGAACCGTACGAAGATATAGGATATATCAGAATCGCAGCTCCGGCATGACCAGCCCCAATGGTACCCATGACATCAGGTTGAGTACTGGTGCCTGCCATGTTCGCGATGCAGGTAGTGTCTGCATTTTACCGTATGCATGCATGTGCGGTTGGACCTTCGATTTGGTAGACTTCCAAGTGCTGAGGCCACGACAACGAAGCACTCAGATAAACGAGTAGACCCCGCCACCAACTTCGACAGAAGCAACAGCAGCAGCAGCAGCAACAACACCGGCAGCAGCAACAACAGTAGCAACCACAATCGCAGCAACAACAATGACATTAATAACAACTTGAACAACACTAACGACAAGAACAGCAGGAGTATCACTAACAAGACCAACAGGGACACCAAAAACGCCAATAACAAACATACACCGCTGACGACAACGACGGCAACACCAGCAAAACCACAGCAATAACAACACTGCAAGAATGGATAGCAGCAGCAACAACAACAGCACAAACAGTTTGAACAGCAAGACAATCACAACCACCACCATCACCAACAACAGCAGCAGCAGCAGCAGCAGCAGCAGCAGCAGCAGCACTAGCAGCAAGAGACTACTAGCAGTGCTACTGCTGCTAGCTGCTGCTGCAACTACAACTGCACCTGCTACTGCTGATGTTGCTGCTGCAACTACATCAACAAGAACCACCATAGCGACGGCTACTACTACCACGCCGCACTGCACTGCCACTACCACTACCACTACCGCCAGTTGCTATAGTTGGCATCAGGAATCCTTTCAGGCCATCTTGCCTCGTTCACGAAGTGTAACTCCCCGAGACCCCAAAGCTCTGAGTAAGTCCCATCCGGATCGGATGGTCGAGCCAGGTGCTCTCAGAGCCATCTGCTCCCCCCGAGGCCACGGGGGCGCAAGGGCTTAAGACTCCAGGTTTCGGCTCCCAAGGGGCCCCGGATCGAGGATTTGCGGATATCGCTGAAGATCCGGGCTTCAGGGCATCTGTGGCACGCTACTAAACCCTAAACCCTAAACCCTGAACCCTAAACCCTGAAACCTAAACCCTGAACCCTAAACCCTAAACCCTAAACCTGAATTCGGCTTTCTTGCGGCTTGCACCTCGGGACAGACACAAAACTGGACGTGGAGAACTGCAGATGCAGCAAGGGTTCTTGAAAAGGGGTCTATAAGGGTTTCTACAAGGGCTTAATAAGATTAGGGGCCCCAAAGCCCTATTCTAGTTATTAAGGCCCCTACAGTATGTTGGCAGCTGTGTGCTGACCCATACGAACCGCCCCTGGGTTTCAACCTCTCTAAAACCCTTTTAAACAAATGCAGCAATTGTGCTGCTACAGCCGCGGAGCAATGGATGTGGCGATGCCCCCGGAGAGTGTGGCAACGTCCTCCTCTTCATTCAGGATGTGATGGGTTGGGATGCTTAGATCTGGTGTTCAATTCCGACATGCTCTTCAGTAGTGATTGTGGGGACAAGGGTCGCAAGCATCGAAGACGTGAACGAACCGGTGTACCCACACCCTACACCGTAGGGGCTTTAGGGTGAGGGTTAGGATTTGATTCATCCCACACTCAGACATGCTGCAGCAGGAGGCTGAGCAGTGCCAGAGAATACTTCGAGATGTTTGTGGTGCCAGTGCAGACGCTGTGGCTGATGACCTCTATCCAAGCGCACGAGGAGCTCTTGGAAGGAGGGACCCTTATCAAGTTCGAGGAATCTCTGGGCCAAGCATTATTTATCTCTCATCAGTGGGCTGGTCTTGGCCACCCAGATCCCCACTTTCTGCAGCTCAAGGTTCTGCAGGACGCATTGAGAAACTTGTTGTCGGGAAACAGCTCAATTTCGGCCAGTATGGTCATGGAGCTGTTAGCCGGCCAACAGCATGGTGTTTCCATGCATGACAAGTTGGCTGACAGGCTCTTTGTGTGGTATGACTACTTCTGTTGTCCACAAGCCAATGTCGTGCATCGGCAGTCTGCCATCGACAGCATACCGGCCTATGTGGGTCGCTGCCAGATCTTTTGCATCCTCTGCCCTCATGTTCGGCACGCGGATGACAACACGCTCCTGAACAAGCACACCTGGGCGGAACGAGGCGCAGCGATATGTAGCACAGAGCTTTCGCAATCGCGGGCAGCTATTGTTACCAGGGCTTTTGCGTAGTCGCCGTTGTCGTTGCTGCTGCTGCTGCTGCTGAAGCTGCTGCTGAGAATGGACCAACCAGCGTATTCTACAAACGCATACACACACTTGTCCAGATGCCCTGTCCGCAAAAGTATGAATCGCCTCACTCGCGGAAACCCCAAAGCACATACATAAGAAACGTGCTCGTGTTAGAAGCATTTGTGAGGCTGGTGTAGGCTGGAGCGGGCTGCCCGCGAGCTGAGCTTGCAGCCGGATTCTATCGCCACCATCGAAATCCACAGCGCCACACACCAGGTCTTGTCGAACACCTTTGACTGGGTTCGGTGCCCTGTGGGCGAGGGAAGTTTCAGCGAGGAGACAGACCGTCAGCGTGTAGGTGAAGTGTTGTGTGATATGATCAAGTCAAAGCTGCAGCACTACCTCGACGAGGAGGACTTGCACAACTATCGCTTGTTGCTGAACACACAGGCAGTCCACTTCAGGAAGCTGTCGGTGAGGAGTGTCGAGAGCCTTCTGCCGCACACCTGCTCAGACGAGCAGGACCCGGCAAGCTTTGCTCTCGGGCAGTTCCTGGAGCAGAATGGATTTGCTAATGCAGTTGAACGAAATGATGTCGGATGGACGCCATTGTGTTATGCAGCCCTTGCAGGTGATCCTCTTGTCTTGGCAGCCTTGCTTCAGCAGAAAGCAAACGTCAATGATGGTATCGGCCGGCAAGATCCCATCTTGCAGTTCGCCCAAGGCACTTCTGTGCTTGACATCTGCGTGTGTTTGCACCACAACAATGCGGCACGCATGCTCATCGACTTCTCTGCTGATCTCCAACAGAAGGATGGGCTTCGCGCCACGGCCGCTCACTGGGCCTGTGTTGGCAACAACGTCGAAGGCAGCTGCCCCCGTATCGTTAGGATTTATGGGGCCTTCAGGGTTTGAGACGAGGGCTTTGGGGCTTTGCATCGAGTGGAGAAGCGGCAACGACTTTGAATGCGTCAGAGTGCAGGTGACTATTCTTAAGCATTTTCCTTCTCTGCCCCTGCATAGGCCTTGGGGCTGTCAGACGTCGTTCGGGAAAGCTTCGGCTGTACCACCTTAGCAGCAGAAGCAGCCATAGTCCGTATAAACAGAAGAAAGCATCTGATATAGGGGCCTTAGTCGCCTTAGTCATTACCTATACCATTTTTGGGGTTCTTGTTCTAATTAAAGTATATTGGGCGCCAAAACCCTTTTCTAATTATTAAGGCCCCTATAATATAGAACAAACCCTTATAGTAGCCCTTATAGTAACCCTCAAAGACCCTTATAAGAACCCTCAAAAGCAACCCTAATGGGCTCCATCATACCCCTAAACATTATCGTACCCTTGTAGATCCCTTGTAGTAACCCTTGCAGACCCCTTTAAAGGAACCCTACTCTACTCATTCTACCAGGGCTGCAGCTTTTGCGGATAGCGGGCTGCAGCCTCGGGGACCGCGCGCTCTTCGGCGAGCTCCCGTTCGGCCTTGCTTGTGCCATGGGCAGCGTGAGCTGTATCAAGGACCTCAGGGATTTAGAGAGTAAGGGTTAGGGCGCATCAAGGAGCCCGAAATGGTATAGTTTGCATGTATAATGCTAGGATTTTGTCCGGCAGCACTAGTAACTAGTAGTACTCCAAGAAGACGAGGCAGCTGCAAGAGCCTTTGAGTCCGCAAAGACGCAATGTGCAACGGTCGTAACAGTAGACTCCTTACTCAGAAATCACTGCACCGAGGCTCCGTGACAGAAGCCCAGGGCCTTCGGCTAAGCCTTTGAGGAACCCGTCAAGTCAAGGAAGCCTAGCCCCTCACTCTGAACCCCTCAAGGAACCCGCTGTGATTGGTTTCAGGAGCTCCTTCCCGCCACAGATCGGCAGGAGTGGCAGAAACGAGCGACAGGGTTCGTGGCACTTCAGGGAGGTAGCGTCAAGGCAGAGCTGATAAAGTCATGCAGCAAATAGACATCAAGGTTTACAAGACATCTACATACGTACATGCATACGTACATACATACGTACATGCATACGTACATACATACGTACATGCATACGTACAAACTGACATACTCGCATACATACGTGCATACATGCGTCCATCCATCCATCCATCCATCCATCCATCCATCCATGCTTCCATCCAGCCATCCTTGTATCCATCCAGCCATCCTTGTATCCATCCATACATGCATACATGTATATACATATAGATACAAATATACGTATACATCTACATACACATGTACGTTTACGTATATATATATATATATATATATATATATATATATAAATATATAAATATACATATAAGGATTAATATAAATATAAATATAAATATAAATATACAGATCCATATACATATAAATATAAATATAAATATACATATAAATAAATAAATAAATAAATATATATATATATGTATGTATATGTATATGTATATGTATATGTATATGTATATATATATATATATATATATATACAAGTATGTATGTACATGGTACGTATGTTTGACATTATGTCTGTATGTTTGCAATGCAATGCAATGCAAGGCAAGGCAACTCATGTATGTATGTATGTATGTATAGCCATGCAACCAAAACGAATGAAGCCATTCGTATATGTGTATGTATAAACCTATTAGATCGAGTTCTATTCGCACACGTATACGGATGCCCGCGCCCGTGGACTTCTGTCGGACATCAGTCTGTATATGTGTAGATCGCAACCTGCATTGAGTTGAGCCTGGTATAATGCACAAGATACAGTACTTGGAGGTTCATGGGACTTAGTACTTGGAGGTTCATGGGACTTAGTAAGTACAGTTATAACTACCTTAACTGGGGTTATAACTAGTTATAAGTTGTATGTATAGTTACCTTGATTGTGACCCTACTTACTAAGTCCCATGAACCCCTCAGTATGGTCAACAACTGATGCAACGCAATGCTGCAGAAATCGCCAGGAGCTGGCAGTCGGACTGCATTCGGCCCTTCTCTACGGCCATGCCTCTGCAGAAGTAGTGTCAATTCTCGTAGAAGCGGGGGCCGACATCAACCAAGCAGCGGAGAAGCCCGAGTTTTTGAGTCCCTTTGGCCTGGTCTGTGCTTTTTTAAGCTTGCGCCACCACTGGAGACCCTCGGCACTGAGCACGTATGCCCGCAACGTAGCTGGGGCGACACCTCTTATCTGTAGTATTCTCAGTAGCTCCTTTGAAGCCGCAGCAGTCTTGATATCAGCTGGTGCGAGCCTGGAGCTTAGCAATCACGAGGGCAAGACCGTGAGGGATTTTCTCAACCCCGCGTCTGCCCCGGATTTCCTTCTGAAAGCCATCAGTGGCTTCCCTGCTGCCTGCGACGCAGTAGTGGCCGAACATGTTCAAAGGATCTGGGTTAGCGTTTGAGCAGGCGAGCAGTGGACATGCTCGTCTGAAACTCTTGTTCCAGATCTCCACGAGCGCGTGGTGACCTGCCGCTTGTACCGGCGTTAGTGAACCATGCCTCCAGGAGTTCGGGTACAGCTTAGAAGAGTTCCCGAAAGTCAGGGATTCCCTATGTAAGTAGCCATACTAGGAAGATCCCAGATTGCCATAATTTAAGTTACCATAATTTCCTTTAAGGGCTCTATAAGAGTTTCTTATGACAAGGGCCCTTAACGAAGGGGATCCTTGCCTCGCGGAATGGGTATGTTTTGTTTGTTTTTACTTGTTTTCAGATGTTCTGTTTGAGGACATGCAGGCTCCCATGGCTTCTTCAAGAGATCCCATGGGCGGCACGGGATTTCGTTTCTCCTGCCATCTCACGATGGGGAATACATTTCCTGAATTCATGCCGGAATTGCTATTGTATGATGCAGAACAGCTCCAGGTTGTGGCTGTTTTGGAAGCGTCGGTCCAAAGAAGCTCCGGATTGGCAGACGTGCTTTCGTCGTGAAGTGCCTGGGAATGACCCTCAGAACGACTTGAAGAGACCATCGCAGCAACCAGGCAATCGCATGAATGCTACGCACAACAAAGATGCCCCTAAACCCTAAACCGTAAACCCTAAACCCTTAAACCCTAAACCCTAAACCCTAAACCCCTTAACCCTAAACCCTAAACCCCTAAACCGTACATGGACAGAATAACAACCCCTGCCACTCCTGGGTCTCACCCCCGGTCCTACTTCTATTCGTAGTCCTCGGTCTGCTCGTCTGCCGCCTCCGCTTCCCCACTTCCGGCTACGTCAACGACGAGTACTACTGTTAGCTGCTTCTACAGCTGCCGTTGCTACTCCCACTGCCTACTGCTCCTCCTCGTGACAATTGCTCACTGCTACTCTGCTGCTACTGCTACTGCCACTGCCAGTGCTCCTGCCCCCTGCTCCTGCTTCTGCTCGTGCTCCTGCTGCTGCTCCTGCTGCTGCTGCTGCTACTGCTACTGCTACCGCTACTGCTGCTGCTCCTGCTCAATGCTCACCCACTATATAGGGCTAATGCCTTGAAAGAACAGTGGCACTAGCAGCGCTTGCAGCCATAGTAGTAGCAGTTAGAGTTATAGTACACATAGTCCAGAAAACCCGACGCTGAAAGACATGCACACATCATAACCGAAACACGGCACGAATCATACACGATTTTGAAGTAGCACGCCCTTCTGACAGACGGTGGCAGCGGCGCTGACAGCACTTCGAGCTTTCAAGGAGGACTGGCGAGAGGCTGCTGCTATATCATTGTATCAATATATCAAAATGTCAGTATATCAATATATCAATATATCACAGTATGTCTGCCTGTCTGTATGTAGGTGTGTATACACATATATATATATATATACATGTATACGTTGGCCTTGCTTCGACCGCAAATCGCGGCGATTGCGAATCCAGTGTGTTTGCGATTTCGAACCACGAGGCCACTTCACAGCGACTTGAACCACCGTTGTTGAAAAGGATCACAAGCTGGTAGAACAGAGGTGGCTGCTTTTTGACGTCGGTTCTACGCGGGCGGGTCGATGTTGGACTTTCAATCAATCAAGCGGCTTAGACGGCGGCTTAGGTGTGCAGCAATGTGCTACAGGCATATATTCCTGTCCTTTGCGGCGACTTGGCTCTGGGCCCGAATCGCTAGCGAACTGCGATTTGTGGGTTGACGTTTCTAGCTGTGATTATGTTTTCTAGCAGTAGTAGCAGTAGCAGCAGCAGTAGCAGCAACAGTCGCAGTAGCAGTAGCAGTAGCAGTAGCCGTAGCAGTAGCCGTAGCAGTAGCAGTAGTAGCAGTAGTGGCAGTAGTAGCAGTAGTAGCAGTAGTGGCAGTAGTAGCAGTAGTAGTAGTAGTCGTCGTAGTGATAGTGCGGGGAGTCTATCAAAAAACCTCCACGTGTCTTAGATTTTTTCATTTGAAGTACTTACTCGCTGTACAGCACCTAAGTCCAACACCCTAAACCCGAAACCCTATACCCCAAGCCCTCTAAAGCCTAAACCCTAAACCCCTAAACCCTAAGCCTTAAACTTCCTAAACCCTAAACCTAAACCCCTAAACTCAAGGGCCCACCTCCCCTCGACCTCGATGGCGCAGAGTGACCCAAGACGCTCGCCCGCCTCTCCGCAGCCATGGGGATCGTAGCACCCATGTCGGACCCGGTACCGGAACACGTTCTCTTCGAAACCAGTACTGGTCCCTTAATAAAGTCATTTACCCTAAATCCTGGGAATAGGTTTGGGTGGTTTTGCCGCCTTGAATTGAACGACGTGGGGTGGGAGAAATAAAAGAAAAGAGCCATCCACCATTAGGCTCCAAAGACCGGTCGTCATTTTCCGACGCACTCGACATGAGACTGTCGCAAGATATTTCCGCTTATGCGCCAACCCTAAACCCTAAACCCTAAACCCTAAACCCCTAAACCCCTAAAACCCTAAACCCTAAAACCCTAAACCCTAAACCCTAAACCCTAAACCCCTGAACCCCTAAACCCTAAACCCCTAAACCCTAAACCCATAAACCCCTAAACCCTAAACCCTAAACCCCTTAACCCTAAACCCCTAAACCCCTAAACCCTAAAACCCTAAACCCTAAACCCCTAAACCCTAAACCCTAAACCCCTAAACCCCTAAACCCCTAAACCCCTAAACCCTAAACCCCTAAACCCTAAACCCTAAGTCTAACACCCTCGAGGCATAAGCTCCAAGCCCGCAGGCCCAAGACCGCACTCGCGACACCCAAAAACCGTGAGGAGCCCTGGAATAGGCTTCCTTTTAAAGGTACTCTATAGGGGTTACTATTATAAGAGATACTATAAGCCCTCTATACTTTAGAGGCCTTAATGTATGATAAGAATAGGGTTTTGGGCCTTTTGGGATTTTCTTGAATTACATCTTTAATAAGGAACCACCAAAACAGCATTGGTGATTTTTAAGGCTCGTATATTCCAGTGCATCTTTCCTTGCAGCGCTTTGGAGGCCGTCCGTGCTCAGGCAGCAAAGAGTCTCGAAAGGCGGCTGGACTCACTCAAGTGCCCGAGAAGGTTTGGGTTTGGTTTAGGGTCAGTTTTCGGACACTTGTTGTTGTTGTTGTTGTTGCTGTTGTTGTTCCTGTTTGCGACATTTTTGTGACATGACTACGACAGCCATAGCCGAACCGTTGCCGCTACCAGTATTTGGTCTTCTGCACTAGTAAGGATTCGAGCAGATCGGTGTGGCTTGTGCAAAAGCTTCGCGGCCGGTTCGTTGCAGAACAGCAGAAGCACACTCAGCGGCAGTAGCAGTGGTAACAGCAGTAGCCGCAGTAGCAGCAGTAGATGCTTTTCTGTCGAAACAATACAGCAAAGCTGATCCGGGAAGTGGTGGAAGTATCAGATTGTTAGGACAGGTCGTTCTGCTGGTAGGAGCAGTGCTGGTGATAGGACTGCAGATGGCAACACAGGCCCTGGCACCAGCGTTGAATTTAAACCACAACAGTATGGCCGACTGCCGTTTTCTGCGAGGTACGAGCTGCAGAAGATGCCCAGCGTATCACAGTTCGGGACCTGGCAGGGAGCGGTTGTGAAGCGTCACTTCTTCACCACAAGGTCTTGAAGCAGGCTGATGCAGCTGATGCTCATAATGCTTTGATCGTCGGTGCTTGTGCATAGAGGCGGGTAGAGCTGATGCTGCTGATGCTAGCTTGCCTGCGCTCTTGCCAGTGACGATGATGCCACGGGCTTGTGGGCGCAGGAGGCGTGGTGCCGATGCTCCCTCGTCCGAGCGTTTGCATGGAAGCAGGTGGAACTGATGCTGCTGATGCTGGTATGTTTGATGTTCTTTCTTTGCAGCATGTTAGCTTTCGGGACTTTGGCTGATGTTCGCGATGCTCGGCCTGCATAGAGCTGATGGCCAGTCCAGGCTTTTCAGCCGGTGTCAAAGCCGAGGAGCAGTAGAATGGAGCGGATCTTGATGATGCTTGGCTTGTTGGGGTGCCTGTGCAGCAGCAGGTGGAGCTGATGCCGATGAGGTTTGGCTCGTCGAGAGTCTTGCGTAGCAGGCAATGTTGCTGATGCTGCGGATGCGGTTGTCCTTTGGTTCTTCTGTTGGTGACAATGGTGGTGGTGGACCTGTCTAAATTTGAGAGTCGGGGCTCTTGTGCAGAAGCCGGTGGAGCTGATCCTCATGACGCTTAGCTTGTCGATGCTCTTGCAGGGAAGTTGGTAGAGCTGATGCTGATGATGCTGACAGAGATTGGCCGGTGGTTTCGATTCGGATGAGAAGCTATTGATTGGAGCTGATGCTTATGATGTTTGGCTTGTCGGAGCTTTCGTGCAGAAGCCGGTATAGAGCTGATGCTCGCGATGCTGGTGTGCTAGATGGTGAAGATAATGTGACATGTCTATGTTTTCGGAGTTTCTTCCGTGGCCTCTCATACTTTGAAGTGGTGCCCAGAAGCCGGTGCAGCTCGTGCTGATGATCTGGTCTGCTTGGGTTCTTCTGCTGCTGACGATGCTGAGCGACACGTGTGTGTCATCAGAGATTGGTCGGTGGTCTCGCGAAGATTCGATCTGGTGGAGCTGATGTTCCTGATGCTTGGCTTGTCGGGGCTCTGATGCTGCTAGTGTAGCTGATGCTCATGATGCTGTGTGACCGGGCTTTTCTGCTGGTGGCGGAAACCGGTGGAGCCGATTCCGGTACTGTTTGTACTCGTTTCCTCGGCGAGAGGCTCGGTTCTCTGCGCTGCGGTTCTGATGAGAGAGCTGGTGCTGCTGTGACAACGAAATGCAATGATGGTATGGCATGGGCCGATATGAAAACAGGAGTTTCCGAGAATTAGGTGACCCTAATATAGTACCCTAAAATCATCTAAAAGCCTTTTAGAAGGACCCCCCCAAAAAACGGCACCCGTTAGTGTCGGAAATCACCAAAGAATGCGGAAGCCGACTCTACAGTGCAAGCTTCCCAAAGCTCGCAGCGAGAGGAGGCTGACTACTCCATAGAAGCCTGGAGCCCTAAACGCTTCAAGGGAACCTTAGTTCAGGAAAGCCTTAACCCTAACCGTGAACCCTGAACCCTGAACCTTAAACCCGAAACTCCAAGGCCTCCATGCCGAAGCCCTCAATCTTGAGCTTAAACCACTGTTACTGTACCGTAATCCCTCGAACACGAACCCCCTGACACCCCTCAAACCCTAAAGGCCTACCTCCCTTGCTTAAAGCCAAGAAGCCGCAAGCCCTTTACTGAAACCACTGAAAACCCCGCAGTCCTGCACCTTTGGAATCCTCTTCCTACTCCCGCAAAAGCCTCCGAGCCACTTAGGCTGGGCCCGGCACGGCGTGTGCTGCGGGATCGTGTGGCGGTGCTGGCACTGCTGTTGCAGGTGGGATTCTGTGGCTTTGGGTTTAGGGGATCAGGGTTTTCCTGGGCTGAGCTTTTCAGGTCTGAGGGTATTTCGAAGTATTAGGGCCTTAGTGTTTTGGGTTTGGAGGTCTTGTTTTTCGTTTTGGTCTTTAATTTCAGGTCTTGTGTGTAGGGTTTTGGGGGGTTTAATCAGGGCTTCAATTGTCTTTTGAGTTGGGATTAGGAATGCATCGCTCCAGTTTGTTACGCTGGCAGGTTTGTAGGGGGGGAGGCATGCACTGAAATCTCGAAACCACGGGGAGCTGTGCACATTTGGGGGTCTTTCGGGATTTGGAGTCCATTGTAGAATGTTAGGTCTGTAGGGACTACGGCAGAGTTCAGGGGTCGACGAAGTTGGCTAGGAAGCTTCGCACCGAAACATCGACAGCCTAAGCCCTAGACCCTAAACCCGAAGGCCAGCTGATCCCTTAGAGTCGTCAATGTATTCCCTCATCCACTCTGATTTCGATCGGGTCTTGGGCTTTTGTGTCTCTTGCGAATCAGGGTCGGGGGTCGGTATAGGAATTAGGGTTCAGGGTGTAGGCTGCTGGGGTGGCGGTATCTTGTGATGTGGAAGACAGTTTTTTTAAGAAAGATGCAAAAGTGTGGATGTAGGTAGGTGGTTTGGACGCTGAATCCACGATCGCAGGAGAAGTCCAAAATCAATTGCCATAACCTCGCTCGCTTATGGCTCAGGTTGGGGGTCGTGTAAGTTCAAAGCGTGGCAGCTTTCCTTGTGGGCACGCGCCAAAGAGCGGCCGACCGCAGCACACACGGCACTAGCCACTAGCAAGAGCACAGTCAAAGCGAACCCGAAAATGCAAGAACTCTCAATCGAGGGTTTGTGGTGATTCGGGTCTAGCAGGGCCCAAGACCCTAGACATAGAGTTTGTCAGGTTTAGGACACAATTAAACTCTAAGTTCCAGACTCTTCCACAACGTCCATATCAACAGCCCTGGAAAAGCCCGAAGCGATAAACGCCAACACCCTAAGCGCAACACCTCAAAACCCAGAACCGAAACCCTTAAAATCCTAAACCCTAAACCCTACATCCTAACCCTAAACCCTAAACCCTAAATCCCAGCCCTCTTGGAGGCCTTAGCCGACCTTAGGCTTGGCATGGAGACGCGGGGTGCCGAGGCACCTGGCCAAGTGCATGGGCTTGGAGTTGAGGGCTCCTGGAAAGGTTCGTTTGAGGGTCCTTTTTTGGGTTCCTTTACGGGTTCCTTGAAAGGCCCCTTCAAGAATTCCATGAGGGATCGGGGGTTTTTGCTTGGGGATTTGGGGTTGACAGGGTGTAGGGTTCCGAGCTTAGGGTTTACGCTTGGCTTTTCCGGGCCTTGTTTGAGAAGAGGCTTGCTTGAGAAGCCTTCAGGCAAGCTCGATTTAGGTGGTTGTCAAAATTATGGTACCTTTTTGGGTCCCTAATGTAGTACGGCACCTACTATTTAGGGTGCCCAAAAAAGGGACCCTAACTTTGACAACCACCCTTTTGGAGCAGCCCGATGGAGAAATGTGATAAATCCCTCCGACAGGCACCTCAGAAGGAATCCTGGCGTGCTAAGGGTTAGGGTATGCTGCTTCAGGCATGCTTGGTCTCAGAGTTGTGGAGATCCGGCTGAGATGGACTCCTCGATTGATGTCGGTGTCGGTGGCGGGAACTAGTGGACACGTTCAAGAGGCGTTTGGAACTGGGGTTCCCGCTTTGCGTGTGGCCAGCTCCTGAACTCTACTCCCGCCCGGGATTACCCGAACATAAAAACCAACGCCAGCATGCCAGAAAATTCAGATTGCGCCGAAACCCGCTCTACCTCAGAACTCCCAGTGCACCACACTCCGATATCTAGAGCCGGCAAGAGCTGCAGTGAGGCGCGTTTGGACTCCAGTTTGTCAGGTGCATTGAATCTTCCTGAGTTGGCTCCCCTAAACCCCCAACCTCAACCCTAAAGCCTAAACCCCAAACCCCAAACCCTAAACCCTAAACCCCAACTCAGAAGCCCTATCAGCGCTGCCTCTGCTCAGATCGACAGCGCCCTGGTGGTCTTGGGCCTTCAGACATCGCCGGGCGGCAGCAACTCCTCTCGCCAAACAGGCCCAAGTTTCCCACTTGGAGGTTCATGGGCAGCTATAAGTGGGGTTTAAGTCCCCTAGTCTGGGTTATAATTATGGTTATAGTAGATGCTATAAGCCTTAAAGGGGTACCTATATGGGGGTCTCCGAAAATAGGGGACCCTAATATAGTATCCTGGATAGTAGGATCCTTATTATAAGGACCCCCAAAATAAGGTTCCCCTAATTTTCGGAAACGCCCAAGTTTCCTAGGAATCTACAGAGAAGTCTCGGTCCTCTTGGCTCTTCCTGCCCTGATCATGATAGCAGCAGCAGGCCTTCGTCCTATGAGTTCGTTAGAAGTTTCAAAGCGGTCGATGGTCTTACGTACAGAAAATGTCATCGTGCTCCCATCCTGAGAGCTCAAAATTCAGAGGCACCACGAGTACGACCGCAGAGTCCTCCAGTCGCAGCCGTGCGAGCTCCGCCATTAGCGACAGCAGCACTCCCCTCGGGCGTGCAGGGTGGAAGGGTACAGGTTAGGCGGAATTTCATGCAAGATTTGCGGTGTGTCGGTTTGGTGAATAGGTAGTCCCAGTATAAATCTTGTGCGTCAGGCGGGCAGTACCAACTCTGGTCTTCAGCTAGCTACCGAAGGCATCACTTGATGGGATAGTCGTGGTCTTTAACCCTAAGCCGCAAGGCCTTGACGCTGAAAAGCTGCCTTGCGGAAGTTTCAGGAGTATGTGTCCTCGCCTCTCACCGTTGAGAGAACCCTAAAGGTCGTATTCAAGCTTTAGCTTTTCCTTGTTTGCTTATTAGGACGGTTCGCATGTTGCGCACCGTAAATGACAAGGTGGGGACTTCAGTTCTTCATCGCTTTAGCAGTTTGTTTTGAGGATTTACCTTGTGGACGTCGGGTTTATGAATTGTCTTCCGGATTTCTCGGTTCGCTGTATCTTAGCTGTATATTGAGATCTGCAGAGTTTCCATATGGCAAGGAATGCAGAATGAGCCCTGCACGGTTACAACTTGAGGCTTGAACGTATTTTCTGCAAGCACACACGATGACAATGATGACGACTCTTCGTTCAAGGACTGGTTCCGCCGATTCTGCCCGGGGAAATTGTGATCACATTGTAGCTGCAACTTTTGTTTCCCTAATCGTTATCATTTGGACAATATCTTTAGTCTCCAAAGTAGTTTTTGAGGAACCGAGCTTACGAAAAAAGCTTTAACCGCAAGCCCTAAACCGCCTAAACCCCAAATCCCAAACCCTCAACCCAAGCCCTAAAACCTTAAACCCTAAACCCCAAACCTTCAAACCGAAGCCCAAAACCCCAAACCCTGATCTAAACTTAGACAATAGGGGCTTAAATAATTACCAATACTGGGGGTCCTTATCCCAAAGTACGTACTTTCCTCAGCGGCGGGACTTCCCGGGAGCTCAAGATTTGACTCTTTCGCACGATCCTCGAAGCTTCAGAGCTCTAGTATCTTCGGTTCAAGAGCCCTACCTGGACCCTAAAGAACCTACTTTTAGGGTTCCTTGTTCTGATTTCTTTAAATTAAATCCTTAGACAGGTAGGTTCTTCAGGGTCCAGGTATAGCCTAAGCCCTAAGCCGAAGAGCCTTTGTGGCTTTAGGGTGTCAGCTTCTGCAAGTTCCTTTCGTTGAAGCCTTATTCCATTCATCCCGAAACCCTAAACCCCTAAAACCCTGAACCCTTCATCCCGAATATCCTTGGCTCCAGACCTTCAGCTTAATCCCTGAGTCCTGATCTCCAATCGCTACCCTCGCTACACTCTGAAGTCTATCTTGGGATTTCCTTAGTGTAGTTATAGTATCATGGGCCCCAAAACCCTCTTCTGAGTACTACGGCCCCATATTATAGAGCCCTGATTCCATGGCGATTACTGTGGAAGTTGGGCTGCTAAGTGGAAAGACAGCTCTTTTGACGGTAGACTTGGACGAGGAAGTGACAACACTGGCGTGCCGGGCACAGAAGACCCTCGGAGTAGGAAGAGGAAGGCTGCTGAACTCATCTGGAAGCATTCTGGACGCATCCACCTCGATCAAGGAAGCCGGGGTGCAGGATGGTGACTCACTGACATTGCACATCAGCCAGCTTCAAGTCCAAGCCTCCGAGAGCGCTTTCGCTGCTATTCTTGGTGATGGATCCGTGATGACCTGGGGTGCTGTTCGTACGGGTGGTGAGAGTAGTGGGGTGCAGGATCAGCTGAGGAACGTCCAGCAGATCCAAGCCTCTGAGAGTGCTTTTGCTGCCATTCTTGGTGATGGATCCGTCGTTACCTGGGGTGATGCTCAATGTGGTGGTGATAGTAGTGCTGTGCAAGATCGGCTGAAGAATGTGCAGCAGATCCAAGCCACTGACCACGCTTTTGCTGCCATTCTTGGCGATGGATCTGTCGTCACCTGGGGAAATCCTCATGCTGGTGGTGACAGTTGTGCGGTGCAGGATCAGCTCAAAAACGTGCAGCAGATCCAAGGCTCCCAGAGTGCTTTTGCTGCCATTATAGGTGATGGATCCGTTGTGATCTGGGGTGCTATTGGTATTGGCGGCGTCAGTAGTGCTGTAAAGGACCAGCTAAAGAACGTGCAGCAGATTCATGCCAATCTCTTCGGGTTGGCTGCAATTCTTGGGGATGGATCCGTGGTAGGTCGGGGGGCTGGTGCTGTGCAGGATCAGCTGAAGAATGTGCAACGGATTCATGCAAATTTCTTCGCTTTCGCCGCCATTCTGGGGGATGGATCCGTCGTGACCTGGGGTGATGCTACCTTTGGCGGTGACAGTAAAGCTGTGCAGGCCCATCTGAAGAATGTGCAACAGATCCAATCCACTGGCTATGCTTTCGCTGCAATTCTTGGGGATGGATCCGTGGTGACCTGGGGTGCGGCGATTGATAGTGGCCCTGCGCAGGACCAGCTGAAGAACGTGCAGCAGATCCAAGCCACTGAGAGCGCCTTTGCTGCCATCGTTGGTGATGGATCCGTTGTGACCTGGGGTGCGACGGTTCACGGTGGCGACAGTAGTGCTGTGCAGAATCAGCTGAAAAATGTGCAGCAGATCCACGCCTCCTGGGGCGCTTTTGCTGCAATTCTTGGCGACGGATCTGTTGTGACATGGGGTGATGCTGCAGCCGGTGGCGACAGCAGTGTTGTGCAGGATCAGCTGAAGAACGTGCAGCAGATCCAAGCCTCCTATGGGGCTTTTGCCGCAATTCTTGGCGACGGATCTATTGTGACATGGGGTGACTTCCGGCTTTGACAGCAGTGCTGTGCAGAATCAGCCAAAGAAGGTGCAGCATATTCAAGCCACTTCCTCTACATTTGCTGCCGTTCTTAGTGATGGATTCGTTGTGACCTGGGATTCTGCTCGCGATGGTGGAGACAATTGCGCCGTGCAGGATCAGCTGAAGACTAGGCAGCAAGCAAACACAAGGCTCTGACACCACTTTTGCTGCCATGGATGGGTGGCGGCCGTTCAAAAAATTCATGGTGTCTTGGGAGCTTTGTCTTCGTGCCATAACATAGTGAAGCCTAAATAATTGCCTATACTATTATTGAGGCCCCTATAATAGCTTCAATCGCTCCTCTAGTGAGGCAAAGCATCGAAACAGCAAAGCAGTCAGCGAGGACCAAGTCCCGGAGGCTTCCCCAAGAGGCAGACCATCAACCCTCAACTGAGTCAACTGATCAGCTCGTGCCTTGTTTTGGGGTCCCTTTAAGAAGGGTCCTACTTTTTTGGGGTATTACATAAGGGTCCCCTATTTTCGGAAACTCCCGTGTAGAGGTTCGTTCCGCTCGTAATCCTCGGAAGCTCCACTGGTCTCGTCCCTCACGGGCTTGTGAATCCTCCAGCTGTGCAGAATCCACACAGCCTCGAAGCACAGGGAAAGCCCCCAAGCTCTGGCTAAGGCAAAGGCACCGAAGAGCCCATTCCGGAGATGCCCAACCTTGCAGAATGCGAGGCATGAACTTTCAAGAACTAGTTGTGATAGCAGCCATAGTAGTAGTCGTAGTCGCAGTCGTCGTAGTTGACGCAGTCGTCCCTCCGAGAGTGAGGACGGGGTATGGGAACTCTCTGCATACATCCGTTTCAGTTGACTGGCTTGTTGCCTGTCTTCGTGTTCCGTGAAGAAAGTGTCTGTCAATAAGGCCTCTGGCCGTTTGAGGAATGGTAAGAACTATCTCGTACATCGTTTCTTGACCGATCGAATTGCGTAGTGGGCGGAGCTCCAACAACCATTCATCCTTCTTTCTGTTCTGAATCGGAAAGCCATTTGACATACTAAGATCATATGTGCAGCAAGACCACAGTACGTGCCGTCGTCGTAATAGTAGGTTGCAACAGCAGCCCTCGTCGGCGTCGTCGTCGTCGTAGCAGTAGCAGTAGCAGTAGCAGTAGCAGTAGCCGTAGCGGTAGCAGTAGCAGTAGAAGTAGCAAAAGCAGTAGCAGTAGCAGGAGCAGGAGCAGCAGGAGCAGGAGCAGGAGCAGGAGCAGGAGCAGGAGCAGGAGCAGGAGCAGGAGCAGGAGCAGGAGCAGGAGCAGGAGCAGGAGCAGTAGGAGTAGTAGTAGTAGTAGTAGTAGTAGTAGTAGTAGTAGTAGCAGCAGCAGCAGCAGCAGCAGCAGCAGTGGCGGTGCTGGTGGTGGTTTCGTTTCGTTTTACACGCCAATAAGGCAGTCCGAGCTGTGCGACAGGATATGTAGGTCAGGAATAAGCCCGGTCGCTGAGCGACACATCCGGAGATCGGATGCACCATCCTGATGGTGGTGCCGGTGGTGCTAGTGGTAGCAGTAGCAGCATTTTCAGTAGATGTCGTCGTAGTATTAGCAGTCGTCGTAGTAATATCAGCAACAGGAGTTGCAGTAGCAGTAGCAGTAGTAGTAGTACAGTGGTAGCAGCAGCAGCAGCAGCAGCAGCAGCAGCAGCAGCAGCAGCAGCAGGAGTAGTAGTAGTAGTAGTAGTAGTAGTAGTAGTAGTAGTAGTAGTAGTAGTAGTAGTAGTAGTAGTAGTAGTAGTAGTAGTAGTAGTGGTAGTGGTAGTGTTATGGTTATAGTGGTAGTGTTACAGTGGCAGTACTAGTAGTAGTAGCAGTAGCAGTGCCTGTAGTCGTAGTATTGGTCGCCGTAGTTCGTCGTTGCAATCGTAGTCACGCAGTCGTAGTCGTCGCCGTGGTAGTGGTGGTGGTCGTCGTCGTAGAGATGTCAATTGTCGGAGGGCAGTTTCTTCTCCGCTGTGCTAGGCTGCCGTGGATGCCATGGTCACGCCACGGGGCAATGGATTATGAAACCATAGATGATGCCATAGATGAGCCGTAAGCCTGCACCCTGTGGTATTGATCGCCGCAGGGCCGATAAAGTAAACTGTCCAACGCGCAAAAGGGCTGATCTGGCTATGTTCAGGTCTGCCGAGACACAACTTGCCCGCGAGCGCAGCGCAACACTCCTGCTTCATTTCCCTCAGCCACTGTCAGGAAGCAAATCTGAAGCACTGGCCGTAAACCTTCGCCTCTGAATCCGAAACCATAGATCCCAAGCCCGAAGCCGAGGAAGACGGAACACGGCATGCGTGAAGGGCTCCGTCTACTGCGGCTCCCAACGAGCCCACTGCCACCCAGCTGCTCCAGGACTGTTTCTATCGTGGCGGGTGAGCCAGAATTCTGGGGTGTAATAGGGTAAATTTCTATTGTCTCTTACTGTGCCGAATGCTATGTTGCACCACATATAGTGCTGTGGAGAAATTTACAACGCTGAGCAGCAGCAGCAGCAGCAGCAGCAGGCGGCCAGCTTGGCTACGGCTGCAATTACAGCGGCAGCAGCAGTGGCAGGGGCAGCAGCAGTAGCAGCAGAAGACGGAGTAGTTGTAATTGTGGCAGCAGTGGTAGTGGAAGTTGTGGTTGTGCCAACGTCGCGATTGCAACGTTGGCGTGGTTGTTCTTGTTGGTGGTTCGTTTAAGCCCGATGCCGTCAGCCTCGGGTCTCGAAACTCCTCAGGGCGTGGAATCCACAGTACCATGCTTTCGTTTGTGCATACCGAGCCCAGCAAAACCCTAAACCCTAAACTTTCCTAAACCCCAACTGAGGCATTTTGTACCGGGGTCCGAACTCCGTCTCCGCGGTCATGACATCAGGCGTCCGATTGATGAACTGGCTTGGGGCTTCGTGGCTCGGTGCTTGTGTACACAGGCATTGTTTGAAGACTTCTGCCACCGTCGTCAGCATTCCCGTTTGTTCTGGTGTCTGAGGTTTGACGACGGCAATGGTGGCAACGGTAATTTTGGTGAGAATGCTGATGGTGAGGATGACGATATTGATGGCAACGATGACGAAGCCTAAGCCCTCGAGTCTAGAAGCATAGTGTTGATTTGCTGGTGGTGGTGGTGGTGAAGGTTGGCATTCTTGTCGTTAGCTGCTAAAGGCGGTTATTCTTGTTGTAATTGTATGTCGTGGGGGTCTTAAGAATTAGAGAATGGTTCTATAGGGTTCTGTGCCAAGTTTGGATAAGGGCTGCTTTATCGGCTTTTGTGTGGGTGACGTATAGGGGCTTTAGTAAGGACAGGCTTCTTCGAGTATCAGCGTAATCCGTAGGCAGAGTCTGTGTATTAGTTCATGTCTGTCCTCGTCTTATAACTGCAATGACATGTGATTCTGTTGGTTCGGCTTGCTGCTCCGGCAGGGTGGCAGTTTGCAGCTTGATCGCGCACTGGCTGGAGGAGATGGGCAACAACTTGCGGTGCTGTTGATCGTGCTTGTGTTCGGTTGTTTTCACACATGATACTAAATACTTATTTTCTGTGCATGATGACCCCAAAGAATATTCCGGCCTGTGCAGGTCGGTGTCAACACAGCTTCCATTCCATAACCTGACATGTGCCATTCTCTTTGGCACCAAACTCGGGTTACTGCTACAGCTACTGCTACTGCTGCTTGGACTCCCCAAGAAAGAACAGAGCTCGAGCGTAGAAGTTTTGGTTCTCGGGCAGGATGAGAAGCCTGCCTTTTTCGACGTGTTGCAGCGCATCCACCAGGTGCTTCGGAAAGAAGCGCCGCCAGCTCGGGACGTGCCCCGGACCTGACTGGAGCGTGGTGTTTGCAGCAAGTCTGAGCTATAGCCGAATCACCACATTCGTTCCGGATGAGAGGGAATAGAGCCATCATCATCCATACTAGTAGTCGTCCGAGCGACCGTGGTAGTGGTGGTGGTCGTGGTGGTAGCAGTAGTAGTAGTCGACTGGTGGGGCGGGGTGGTGGCGTCATGGTTGGGGGAGGCTGGAGTCACAGGGGCAGCTGGCAACTTCGCATATCGTCAGCTTGCCAATACAGAGAAGGTGCCGATGCAGGGGTAGAATTCGTGGGCTTGCAGGACTGAGGGTTTGCAACACCGCCTCCAGCCCTGTCGTCCTTGAACTAGGCCTCTGCACTGTCACGCTTCGAGTGGCCAGATACTGTGAACTTTAGACCCTAACTCTTCATGGCCCGCAATCCTGCCTCCCTCAGCTTCGCCGTAACGAGTGCAACAGAATCCTTACCGCCACCTGTGCCCGCAAACAATCGAACTCCCAACCAAACCAGGACTGCTCAGTTTACTGTACTAATGCTTCAAAGCCAACTCACTGCCGAGTCGCTCGCCACGTCGGAGCTCGTCACGCTTCGCGAGGTGTCCCATCGAGTCAAAACTGTTTTTCTTTACGTTTTGTGCGTAGGTTTAAAACTGGGTGAAGGGAAGTCTAGGAGGTTTCAGGTTGGGCATTCGGGATTTTGGGATGCAGTCTCCATGCACTTTGCTGGAGTGGTAGTGGTACTACGACTAGTCAGATGAGAGTCTTGCGGTGTACCTACAAAGCATGTTTCAGCAAGATTCTGGTGGGGCTCACCTCGACACACCACTACAGCAGACACTGCAGGGGTAGACTATCTCTGACAACAGTATCTAGCGTCATCCCGCACCAAACAGTTCTACGAGTATTGAATCAGCAGGAATTTGATCAACAGTTGCATCACGACCTTCGCAACAATGAAGAGCGAACCTTGAACCCTGATCGCCAATCTATCGTGTCTTGCCTGCTCTCTCTCGGTCCCCGCCTCTGTTTTTCTCTCTGTCTTTGCCTCCCTCTCTCTCTCTCCCTCCGTCTCCTCCTTTCTGCCTCTCTCAGACGCTGCGCGCCGAGAGACGAGGGCTCCTGGACCAGCTGGAAGGCCACCGCGTTTGATGTTTCCAAACTGGCACACTTTATGCATTCTTGGTCTCATAAAATGTGCACCCCGATCGTAGTGATCCTGGTGGTCCTAGTGGTCCTAGTGGTCGTGGTCGTCATGGTCGCCGCGGTGTTCTTGCACTGTTGGGGATCTACGCCGGCATAATGTCATGGTCATATTGTATTAGTATTCCTTCTAACGCCGGTGTTGTTATCAGTCACATGCTTGTACAGTGAGTAACTTCCTTGCAGTCTGGTGCCGGGCTTGCAAGTACTTGACTGCCGGCCTTCTTTGTTGTTGTCATTATTGCTGCTGTTGGTAGTCATTATTGCCATGGTCAGCAGATTTCTTTCCAACTTTGATGCCATGTTTACTGCCGTCGTTATCGTTGGCGTGCTTCTGGATTTTGTTATACTTGCGCGTTTGGGATTTAGCATTCCTAAATCCGAAACCCTACACGGATTTTCGGTTCGGGGCCAGTTCACACCCACAAGCTGTAAGCCAAAGCAGTATCCGTAGCCAAGGAGATGAAAGCATGCACAATATGGGAGTTTCCAGAAAATTGGGGTACCTTATTTTTGGGTCCTTATAATAAGGATCCTACTATTTAGGGTATAGATTAGGGTCCCATGTTTTCGGAAACTCCCATGTAGGGGCCTAGATTATTACCAACACTGTTTTGGGGCTTCCTTTTCATAATGATAGTATAATGGGCCCCAAAACCCTATTCTGATTATTAAGGCCCCTGTATTGGAATGGTGCCGATGACAACAGGCACTTCCGGTTGCAACTTGACAGATTGAGGAGCATGAACTCTGAGCCCCAAAGGCCGTACGCCCTAAAGCCGCAGACGTTTGCCTCAAACCCCTAACCCGTTATCAAAGCAGCTCCAACCATAGAGGCTAGGGCTCCCAAAGAGTTCCATCACCAGCACACTTGACCCACCATGTCCACGACAACTCCAAAACCTCCAAACCTCAAATTCCAAGCTTTTCAAGTCTAAACTACACCCTGAACCCCAAAACCCGAAATCACCACGCCCTTGGCCCCGCCCCTTCAGACCACACCTAGATCCTAAGCCCCAGAGGCTTGGATGAGCGCTTGCGTGTCATAGACGAGCAGCTGAATCTGCCGACAGTGGTGCACGACGTGCAGGCGGGGGGCGTGACCCAGTATCCAGCTTGTTCCATCAAGTACGGTCACTTGATGGGGCTGTAGTATACGAAACTAGAGTGTATATATATATATATATATATATATATGCATACACACATGAACGAAGCGAGACATGACCACATCGGAGGCAGTATGCACACAACCTGAACAACTCAGTGATTACACGAACAGACATATACTTCAAGCAACCAGCACGTTCTGCAGGTCGTAGAGATGCCGACAGAATTGGAAACAGGGTTGCTTGGAATGCTTGGCGGACTAGACATGAAAATCTCCTCAGGCTCCGAGTCAGCCCAAAGCCCGAGATTTGTTACACTTTTCTGGTGAAACCTATTCACCCACACCCCGAACCGTAAACCCTAAACCCCCAACCCCCAAACCCTAAACCCTGAACCCCAAGACCCTCCTGAACCCTGAGCTCTCAAGCCGAAGTGCTTGGGGTCCTCCCAAAATCTCTCACCGAACCCCAACGAGGTCAGCACGGAGAGCGGCACTCTCTTCAACTGTAGCCTGGCTTGCAAGGTTTGTGGGGGTTTCGCTGGACCGATTGTCATGTTGAACATCTGTTCGGCCAGGGCTCACGATCACTGCTCCGTCGTCGTAGTAGCAGTGGTAGGGGTAGGGGTAGTGGTAGGGGTTGTGGTACCGGTGATCGTCGTGGTGATGGTCGTGGTCGTGGTCGTGGTCGTGGTAGTAGTAGTCGTAGTGGTTGTAGTGGTAGTGGCAGTGGTAGTTGCAGTGGTACTTGTAGTGGTAGTTGTAGTGGTAGTGTTAGTCGTAGTGGTCGTTGTAGTGGTAGTGGTCGTGGTAGTGGTAGTGGTAGTCGTAGTGATAGTTGTAGTGGTAGTTGCAGTGGTAGTTGCAGTGGTAGTGGTAGGTGTAGTGGTAGGGATAGTCGTAGTGCTAGTTGTAATGGTAGTGGTAGTGGTAGGGGTAGTGGTAGTCGTGGTGGCAGTTGTAGTGGCACTTGTAGTGGTAGTGGCAGTCGTAGTTGTAGTGGTAGTTGTACTGTAGTAGCAGTCGTAGTTGTAGTGATTGTAGTGGTCGTGGAAGTGGTAGTTGTAGTGGTTGTGAGAGGGGTAGTGGTAGTTGTAATGGTACTGTTAGTGATAAGAATAATGATGGCCGTATTGCAAGTTATAGTGGTAGTGGAGGTAGTGTAGTAGAAGCAGCAGAAGCAGCAGTAGCAGTGCAGCGGCAGCCTCGGTGCAGTAGCCCGAGGTGCTCTTCCTCTATCCCCGTGCCTCTTCCCAGGTGGTGCGAAGCAAAGTGCTAGTGAGGACAAAAATGTGGAGCCACGGCTCAACGCAGGGAGCCAAGACAGCTTCACGGTTCAAGTTTTAGGGCATTGCTGGGCGACCTGAGTGTGTCGGCTATCACTCGTGTGCTTCTACACTGCTACGCTCTTAACCAAAACCCATAAGCCATTCGCTTCTCTTGCAGACCTGGGTTCTGTGGCCCTTTCTTGAACCCCATCTCTAAGTCCTGAGCCAGAAGGATTACCTTGGTTGATCAAATGTACTTCGAAGGCACAGGCGCTTTGGGTTTTCAATGCTGTGCCGCTCCTCGTACTGTAGACCCTACGTCACTGTTACGCAGGCTGCCACTCCTAGCCGCAAACCCCAGGATTAGCACCCAAATTCTCAACCTTCTGCCGGAAAACTCCGAACCTTCAGCCTTAAGCCCAAACTCAGCCTTAAGCCCAAACTCAGCCTTAGGCCCAAATGCAGCCTTAAGCCCAAATTCAGCCCTAAGCCCAAAGCCCGGAGCCCTAAAAAAGGGGATCCTAATATGATACCCTAAATAGTAGAATCCTTCTTAAAAAGACCCCAAATAATGTACCCCCTGTTCGGGCTGGAGGCCGGGTGCCAATTGGCTGCTGCCTTGTCCGGTATCGCGGAAACCCTGGCGGTGGAGAACCAGTGCCTCGACCGCTTTGTTGGGGTCCTTTAAGGGTGCCTTTAAAGGGGTTACTAAAGGTTCCTTTTAAAGGGTCACCATAAGGTACTATAAGACTATAAGGGTTCCTTTGAAGGGCTCTACAAGGGTTTAGAAGTTCCGAAAACTAGGGCTACCATATTTTGGGGTCCTTACAATAAGGATCCTACCTGTTTAGGGTGCTGCATGAGGGTCCCCTATTGTCATCAATGTTCTTTCATAGTATGCTATGTTATATCACACACCCACACCCCTCTAGTGATGCCTGGAGGAGCCAAGAAAGATATGGCTCGAATTGCCTTACGTTGATCTTCGTCAAGGGATGTAATATGAGCCCAGACCCCCGGGAGGATCCAAAAAGTAGATCCCTCAACGGGTTCCTATAAAGTACCCTTAGTAGTATAGGGCCCCAAATTAGGGGATCTACTTTCGAGATCCTCCCGGGTGTCTGGGAGTTTTGCAAGCAATAAAGTCGATTCTTGGATTTTGGGAGGGTCTCTCGGGCTCTTTTGGGGACTGAGGGTTGTTGGGTTTATAAACCCTAAACCCGAAACCCGAAGCCCTAAATCCTAAGCCCTATATAGAGAGTACGTTTGGGAAGAGTTTTTTTAGTGCTAGCCGAGGCAGAGGTTGTTCTCTTCAGGCTTTGAAGAAAGCTAAGATTCGTTGCCCTATGGGATTTTGTCGTCAAAACCTTGTACCTAAACCCTTAACCTTAGAGTACACAACGTCATGGGAGCCCGCGGTTTTCAGGTTGTTAAACCTTCACCCTTAGCCCTAAACCCCTAAACCCTAAACCCTCCTTCGAAGCGAGCGGATCCCAGCAAAAAAGGCGCTCGGTGGAGCGCTTTGGGGCGCAGCTTCAGCTCAGGCCGCCTCGTAAGATGCCAGAGGGGTGGGTTCCTTTTAAAGGTTCTTCAAAAAGGGGTCTATAAGGGTTTCTACAAGGGCTTGATACTATTAGGGGCCTTTGTAATTACCAATACCATGTTGGGAGTTCCTCATTATAACTATAGTGTCATAGGCCCCCCAAGCCCTATTCTAGTTTTTTATGGGCCCTATTTTACCTCAGTGTGCCCAGGAGTTGCTTCTGAAGTCGACTCCAAGGAATTATTAGGAAGTAGCATGCTGAACATGGTTGTAAGGACGCTTAAGATACAACGTATTGTAATTCACGGGCTGGAATGTTAGTGAGGGTATCCTGCCTTAAATCGTGGAAGAATCAGGATTCAGTATAGCATGAGCTAGGTACACATTATTACAGGTTTGTACATAACAGTTAACATGGTCTATGATAAAATGTGTGTTGTGTATAGCAAGCAGTACAGCGTAGCTCTGGGTGAAATATATAACTATAGAACCGTGTGTTACATACTTGTGCACATACTAAGCTTGTAGCTGTTACTAAAACGATACCTTACATGACATGGGATGGATTTCGGCGGTTATTGCTGAAGGGTATATAGTTTGGGGGATCGGGAGCATGGTTTGGCTATTCGGGGGTTAGAAGTTTCTTGTCGCCGCTGTTGGGGCTTGCTGCTTCGTGCGGGTTGCAGCTGCTTTGACTGAATATCATATTCTTGCAGCTGCAGTTCCATCCAAGTAAGCTGCAAGAGGTTAGCCGCCGGCGAACCCTTGTTTCATGCTTTGAAAGCAGGTCATGTCCTTGAAGGCACCGTGCGACGCTTGCTTCCGCACTCCTTTCCATGGGAAGAGCATGGCGTCCGTCCGAAGGGGATTGAAAGAGATTGAACAGCAAGTACCCGATTACTACGCATCAGCCCTGAGCAGCTGCAGCTGTGCTGGCCAGGGGCTTGATTCGGAGCACCTCCTTTGTTTTAGCACCACCAGTGGCTGGGTCCTGGGTGGCTTGCATGCAGCCTGCGACCACAACAGAACCGACTCTTTCGGTAAGCCCGTTCTGGCATTGATTGTGGTCCTCACAATGCTCCTCATATCTTGCCATCCATGCTACAGCCCTGCAACATCCCTACTTGCAGCGGTGGCCTCCAAGCATCCACATTCGCCAAACGATTGGCCAGACCGTGAGGTCCATTACCTTAAGCCAAGCCAACATACGGCCTGAATGAGCTTTCTGTATAAGTGTTAATACCATGGGGGTCCCTAATCTGTTTATACCCTAGGATCTCCAGTAGTACCCTTATTCCCTTTTTGTAGTCCTAGGTTCCTTATAAAGTTACCCAATACCAAAATGAGAGGCCTTTTTATTCTTAGGCTACTGGGTATCCTAGTACCAGACAGTCCCAATCGTTCAGTGCTTTGATGTTGCACCGCATCCGAAGGCGCGCCGAACTCCTCTCGGCGCTGAGGGAGCACCTGGCGGCGGAGGAGGGTCGGCAAGGGGCCTGGAAGGGTTCAGAGATTTGAAGGGCTTAAGGGTTCTGGGTAGAAATAGGCCCCCGGTCGGGGGATTTACGGTTCCGCGAGGGCTTGACTCGACGACTACGGGAGAAGCTAAATCTGAGATTGACACAATGATGTCGAGGATTCATGCTGAGGCCGCACACAGAAGACCTTCAACATCACGTTTCCTGCTCAACAACTTTAGCGTATGGTTGCCCCAAAACTATTAGCCAACCTGCATCGAAAAGATTTCGCCTCTATCTGAAACCCACACCTTTAACCTCAAACCCTCAACTAGATCTCGCTTAATGCGCTGAAGGCTTTCTGCCCTCGTCGTTGCCCCAAGCGGGGTCGTGAACGCTGCCCAGGCCATGGGGCAACCGTGCTGGGTTTCTTTTATGTACTATTACTACTACTATTACTACTACTACTACTACTACTACTACTACTACTACTACTACTACTACTACTACTACTACTACTACTACTACTAATACTACTACTACTACTACTACTACTACTACTACTACTACTACTACTACTACTACTACTACTACTACTACTACTACTACTACTACTACTACTACTACTACTACTACTACTACTACTACTACTACTACTACTACTACTACTACTACTACTACTAATACTACTACTACTACTACTACTACTACTACTACTACTACTACTACTACTACTACTACTACTAGTACTCCACTGAGAGGCTGTCGAAGTTGCCTGGGTAAGAAACATGGCTCTTACTACATGGGTGGCTGTCAATATTATGGTCCCTTTTTGGGTCCCTATTATGGTATGGCACCTAGTATTTAGGGTACCCAAAAAGGGACCCTAATTTTGACAACCGCCCACATGTTTCCAACATCTCAAGATACTGGCTGTGCAAGGCAGCAGCGGCAAGGGTGTGTTTTTGGTCGGACGAGCCACAAAGGCAATAATCTGGATAACGGCATACAGTTCTATGTGACTGCATATGTAAAGCAAGCGGTCAGTAGATGTTACTTAATTGTCAGTATACACACATCGTATATACGCATACTGATTGTGTGGCACATGGAGAGGGAAGGAGCAAGAGGAAGAAAGAGGGAGAGAAAGAGAGAGAGAGAGAGAGAGAGAGAGAGAGAGAGAGAGAGGGAGAGTGTGCTAGCGAGCTCGCTCGAGAGAGAGGCAGAGAGAGCTCGGGAGAGGCGAGCTGGGAGAAGCTAGCCTGTCACCGGAGATGTAGGCCATTGTCGCACTCCACCCTCGCGCACCGAAGCCCTAAACCCCGAGCCGAACCCGTGGAGGTGGCAGCGGAAGCTGTGTATGGGGCCTTCGAGGAAAACAGGCCCTGAGCCGGATGGGGGGGGTGGGCGTAACAAAGGGCGATTTCCGGGTATTGAGGGCGGCAGGTCCGGGGTGGTTTCTGTTTCGGCGCGGCTGTGTTGAGAAGGCTTGCACATCCGGTTGGAGGTTCAGAAAAGCAATTGCCCCCGGCTTTGACGACCCCTACACCGGAGGTTCTAAAGGCTTAGCCCCAAGCAGCAGACTTCACCCAGAGACCTTAGAAGGTGCTAGATGAAAGGACCCCCCTGGGAAGCTGATACTTTTCTCTCTTTCAGCGAAGGCTTCAGGGACCCTTGGAGCCGAAATCCTCCAATCCCAAAGCCAGCATTCCGGGACTCAAGGCAGCTTTGTGACCTGGTTCAGAAAGCGCTGGGCCCCGCGAGCTCGCAAGTCAGCGAGCTTTGCCGGGCTCTTAGAAAGCACAAACAACATCGAGTGAATATTGCTGTGAGATTGCAGGTTGCTGTCCGTCGTTTCGAAAAGTCCTCCTCATTGCTTTGTTTGCCATCCTTGTCGTTACCAATATACTGGTACATGCATGGCTATTTTTGCGACAGTTTCTGGTGTCGCCCGTACTGCTGTTAGTACCACGTTTCTCACCAGCAGCAGCAGCACCAGCGCCGCCGCCGCAGCCACGACCAGGCACACGAACACAACCGCGACTAAAACCACGACTACGACTACGAGTACTGCAACGGTGACGACGCGACGACAGCGACTACTACACTACTTGGCATCGCTGTAGAAGTGTTACTGCTGTTGTTCTTATGATTAGAGCGCTCGGCAGCTTGTTGCTACATAACTAACTCCGGAAACGTTTGGGTGCTGAGGTGCTGGGAGCAGATGCCGTGCCAGGTGGATGGCCGGGGGCTCAAATAACTCGGGTTGAATATCTTGTTAGTTGAGTAGCAAGTTTGTCAGGCTTATACCTGACCCTAAAGTCCTACAGCCTGGGATGATCTTCTCCAAAAATCCCTGGGATGGTCGCTTCTAGTGTACGTGGATTTTGGGGTCAGGGGTTTGCATCCCAGGATGGCAACTACTACGACGCAACCATCCACACTGTACTGCCCGACGGTCCCAGCCTCAGAGATCCGCCTACACGTCTGGTTCAGTACTTGAAGCCAATAGGAAGTACCATAGAGCAAAATTAGGTGTAGCTACTAAAACCCGCGGCGCCGGTTCAGATACTGTAACTAAGGATCCACGTTTGGCTTTTCATGAGTTGTCACAATCGGCCAACTCATTTGCACTCAAGCAAGTCTCCCGGGACCAAACATGAACGTTAAGATTGGCTGTGGGATTCATGTTGCAGGTAGTAGGGGATCTCTTCACTATGGTCTGCGATCGTGAAAAAAGACCCTCGGATAGCGAAAGCGTTTCGGGTATATGTTGGCTGGATAGTGATGATCCAGTGTCGAAGAGCAGACACAACCATGCGTCGCCCAACTTGCCCGACCAGCTAACTGCAAAAGGGTTACCTGCTGCAAGCCCATACTTAAAGCGTTTCGGGTATATGTTGGCTGGATAGTGATGATCCAGTGTCGAAGAGGAGACACAACCATGCGTCGCCCAACTTGCCCGACCAGCTAACTGCAAAAGGGTTACCTGCTGCAAGCCCATACTTCAACGCCAGAAGCTTGCTCCATGGCTGTAAGAGAGAGATCTTCACATCAGGCACTGCAAAACCAACAATACCTTGGCATTCTGCCCAACCCAATGCCCCACGTACGAAAGCAACTAGCAAGCCTTCGAGTCCGACAGCCTTAAAGCTTACCACTCTACGACTGAACTCCAACCTTTGAGTCTTTGTGTTATTCCCTGCTGAGGCTCCGTGGTGGTGAACTGGCTGCGGCCGCGGCCGGGACACGACAGCAAGGCCGCACAGAGCCGCAGACTACATGATGTCGGTGGATGACGATGAAGACGACGATGATGGGCCCGGTAATGAAGATGAAGTGACGATGATGATGACGACGATGATGATGATGATGATGTCGGTCATGAACTCACAAGATTAAGATGCTACGCACTGATGCTAAGCACAAAGGCCCGAGGCGACGAGGACGACTTAGATATAAAACGGGACATGTGTAGTAAGTGCAACGCTAGCAGCACAGTCATGGTCAACACCAGGAGGAGAAGTAGTGGTGGTAGAGTCGTCGTCATCATCAGCAGTAGCAGGTCGTCGTCGTGGTATGCGCAGTCGTAGCCGTAGCAGTAGCCAGGAAGAACAGCAAACCCAAACCCGCAAGACCTAAACCCTGAAGCTTAATCCCGAAACCCTTTAACCAAAAACCCTCATCAATAGGCCCTCAGCCCCTTAAACCCTAAACCTTCAAACCCGGAGCCAAAATTTTGAACCCTGAACCCTCGATGCTAATCCCCAATCAGGAGCGGCCGCTTCGGACCATCAGTGGCGTCGGCGGCGACGACACCTTGCATCGGATACTTCAAAAGGCCGGCAAGCTTCGAGCCAAACGGCTCTTGTATGGGTTCCAGAAAGCGTTTTTCGCATACGAGGTTTTTAGGAGCTTTGCAAGGGTTCTAGAAGGGTTGTATACGGTTTCTACAAGGGCTCTAAAATGCATAACCTCCATATTTATGACCCTCATCGAACCCTTGTCAAGCCCTTCCAGAACGCTCCTAGAGCCCTTCTAGAACCCTCCTAGAACCCTCCTAGAACCCTTCTAGACCCCGAAACCTTAAACCTTCACCCCGAAAAACCCCCAAACACCCCCCCTAAACCCGGAGAGCCCCGAAAGACAGGTGGAAGTTTCCGAAAATTAGGGGTACCTTCTTTTGGGGTCCTTAGAATAAGGATCCTACAATTTAGGGTAGTACATTAGGGTTCCCTAATTTTCGGAAACGCCCATATATAGATATATATATATATATATATATATATCATGTTCTTTCATATTGTGTTATTTCATATTACATTGCCCAGAACCCCCGTGATAATGCCAAATTTTCGGAAACGCCCAGGTGGACATTCACTTCGAGGGCCTTGGCTCCGAGGGCCCCGGGCCCTCGGGCTCCGAGGCCCTCCACACCGCGAGTTTCCGGTTTTTTGAGGCTTTAGGGTTTAGGGCTTTGGGGGTTTAGGGCTTTGGGGGTTTAGGGGTTTGGGGGTTTAGGGGTTTAGGGGTTTAGTAGGGTTTAGTAGGGTTTAGGGGTTTAGGGGTTTAAGGTCGGGCTAAGGGGTTCAGGATGATAGGGGTTGCTATGAGGGTTGCTGTAAGGGTGACGATAAGGGTGCTACAGTATACGGGTTACTATGACACGGGGGGTTGCTGCAAGCGTTATGCTATGGGTTGCTATAGTATATAGGGGGTACTACAAAGGATAATTTAAGAGCTTCTGGCAGTAGGTCCTTCGGAGGTGTGGAAGTTAAGCTCCGTGGGTTTAGGGAATCGTTTGTTGGACAAGCATGAAGCCATTCATGTTTCCTACTGTGTTTGGACGAGAAGTGGTTTGGAGGGTGTCATTGTCTACTAGGTTTGCGGTTGACGCCTCAGAGGTTCAGGGTATGGGGCTCAGAACCGCCACCGCCACCTCTACCTTCGACACTCCACCACCACCCGTCCCCACAAACACCGCAGCAAAATAATCGCAGCTAACAAACATTCAACATTCGAAACCGAGGCGGCGCTGTCGGTGTTCCAGCAACGGCGACCCAAGGAGCTTTTGCACACAGGGTGTTCGAGTTTTCGATGAGAGCTGACTTAAGAGCTCGGAATCTGCTGGTGGTAGTGGTAGTAGTAGTAGTAGTAGTCGTCGTCGTCGTCGTCGTGGCAGTAGTAGTAGTAGTAGTAGTAGTAGTAGTAGTAGTAGTAGTAGTAGTAGTAGTAGTAGTAGCAGCAGCAGCAGCAGCAGCAGCAGCAGTAGTGGTAGCGGTAGTGGTGGTGCTAAGTGGTGCTTGGGGTGCTGGTGGCAGTGGCGGTGCTGGAGGTGAAGTGGCGGCAGCGGTACTTGTTAGTTTTGGCAGTGGTTGTGGCTGTGGTGGTGGTGGTGGTAGCATTGACAGAATTGCTGCGCCACCACCTGCTGCACTAGCCGTAACCCTTGCAGAATTCCTAGTTTAAGTATGTATTGTTGCGACTTCGGATTTGCTGTTCGCAACATACATTGCCTTCAAGCATGAGGATCGTCGGTGTGCGGACTGTGGCGCTGAGGGGCCGGAGTGGCCCGGAGTCTCAGCAGCTAATGTCGCTCTGTGGTCACAAGCTCCTTGTCATGCTCTAGTAGACTCGGTGCCTCGGATATGAACAGCTTCTACCGTCATGCAGTTGCAATAAGCTCAGGCTTGAATAACTGCTTCGCCCTCTTTGGCTCCTGAACATGGACAGCGTCATCGTCCGCGTCGTCAGTAGCATCTTCGACAGTAGGAGTCTTGCTGCGTCTCAGAAATCGAACACTTGAGGATCATGTCCGGAGTGTCCAGTCCAGTCTCTTACGCAGGTGCTTCACCGTGCGGTATTGTCTTCCTTCATACTCTTTATGCTTCCTGCCGTCGTATGCTGGCCCTTAAAAGCTTGTTTAAGCTCTTAGCCCGGCCCACAACCGAGTCAGAGCCAGACAGGCAGATCGACCAGACAGACAGATAGAGCGGAGAAGGGTGAGCGTGTGAGCCGGTCTGTGCAGGGGAAAGGGCTTCAGGCGAGGCAAGCAGGTAAAGGCCGCAGCGAAGCGACAAGGACCTCGCGCTCAGTCAACGGACTTCAGTTTCTGTGCATGCGGCCTGGCCAGGGCGTCCATCTCCTTCGGCATCTACCTGTGCGCCACATGTGTGGAGGTGAGCCTGCTCTCTTGCTTGGATCTTCCATCCAAGGAAGTATTCTGTGATTCATAGCGTGTATATACACGCGAGCACCTGCTATCTCAACATGAAGAGTGCTTTAGACAGGTAGATGGATAGATAGCTGCGCCGGAGCAAGAATGTGTCAGAGCGTTCCTGCCTTACCTCTTCTGAACCCTAAGCGCTCAAACCCAAAGTTACATGGCTCACAGGAGCATAAACGACTGGGTCCCAGCCGCAGCCTCGTCCGGTCCGGCACCCCAGACACTCGCGTGTTGATGCGGTTTCCGGCTTTCGGTTTAGGACATGGCAGCGTTTCGTTATCGAGGTACGAGGTGGAGTGTTAGAGGGTCCAAGGCTGAGGGGCATTAGTTCTCAGGCTCGTGTGCCGAGGCTTGCACGTTTGGCTATCTTAGGGGTTTGACTGAAAGGCTGTGCTTCAGTTTCGCTCATATCTGCTGCGCGCCTGAGTGCGATCGGCATCTCACCAGCGGCGACTCAAGGCTTCCCACTCTTCAGCGAACTTTTGCGGATTCCCAGAGTGCGACAACGATAAGCCTGGCTTCGAAGAGTGCCTCGAGGCCTCGACCCATGCCAGGCATGTGCGTAGCAGACATGGGGGCTTCCGAAAGTGAAGGGGTACCCATTTTGGGGGTCCTTATAATACCCTAAACCCTATACCCTAAACCCTAAACCGTACGGATCCTGCCATTTACTATTTGGGGTAGGTCCTTTTAATATGGATCTTATTATTTACTATTTAGGGTACTGTATTAGGGTCCCCTATTTTCGGAAACGCTCACATGTGAAGGGTGCACCCAAAGAATGCCTGCACCTCTGGGAGCAGCTCAAACGGCAACCTTATAAGGGGATCCCTACGCTAAAGCGGGCTATATAACGGGTTTATACAATAGCTTTATTAAAAATATATACCTAGCCGTCCTTATTCAGGGTCCCTCCTTTTATCCTGAGAGCTCCTGTGCATTTCGATTTCAAGAGACATGTCTGAGGCAGTTGAATGATGGCTGGGGCTGGACCAAGAGCGACCTGAAGTACATGACGGCTCGGAGCTCAGCTTCAAGCAGATTCGCAAGCCAAAGCCTTGTGCAGTGTGATCGGGGATAAGAGAAGCTGCTAGATAGTGCAGAGCAGTGAGACTAGAAAGAACGGGCATAGTTGCTAACAAAAGGCAGAGGGAACTGCTGCTGCTGCTGCTGCTATTGCTACTGCTCCTACTACTACTGCTGCTACTACTACTACTACTACTACTACTACTACTGCTGACCCAAACCCTACACCCTACAACATATACCCTTAACCCTAAATCCTAAGCCGTAAACCCCAGCACCCTAAACTGCCCGAGGCCGGTGGCAACGAGGCCTTTCTGTCCAACCTTGAGGAGTGCCCTTCCTAGCTGCGAGGCTTTTGAGGTTCCTGTTGGTCATCGTCTTATTAGGCCCTTTGAGATTTTCTTTGGTGCCCTTTAGGATTTTTTAGGCCCTCTAGGATTCAAAGGACTCTTTTTAAGCTTTGGGGCGCAGGGCTTCGGATTTTCGGTTTATGTTTAACAAGCGTTGCGGGCTAAGTGTTTTTGGGCCGGCTATGGGCCACAGCGTGAAAGGCGTCCTTGATTTTCTTACGATTCTTGACAGAACCGGTGTAGCATTGCTTGGTCAGAGACCTGGTTTTTCTAATAAAAGTGCTGTGTTTAGGTTTTCAACATGGCAGCCAGCACCAAACGCCAAACTCCTGCATTCCGTGTCGCGGGGTTGCTGGCTCAAAGCTTCAGCTGCAGAGCTGTAATGTAGGAGCCCGATTAAGAAACCCTGGCCCTATAACCCCAATATATTAGGGCTCATATAAGGGACCCTAATAAAGGCCCAGGGTTTCTTGATCAGGTTCCTACATTACGGTTTCGTCCTCTGAGGCTTCAGGGGTGCTAGGGTCTGGGTTTGAGGGACTTGTGGTTAAATTTGGGGGTACTTATAATAAGGATCCTACTATTTAGGCTACGAGATTAGGGTCCCCTATTTCCGGGAACTCTGTGTAGAGTTTCTGAGGCCTTCTAAACCTCCAAAAGGGAGATGCCGCAGCCCAACTGCGAAGTATGAACCCCAGGCAAGGCCCCCCTTCTTCAAGGACTGAAGCGCCTGAGCCTCAAACCTCAAATCCGAAAACTCAGAGCCCCAAGTCCCCAAACTCTAAAAATCTTAATTTCCACAACCTTAAGCCCCGGTAGAACTCCATGGACTCTGATCCCGGAGCGCATGGGTCACATCGGTGAGGTACCCGGAAGTGAAAGTGCTCCCTGTAGCCACAAGGCCTCCCGTGTCTAGGGTTACTATTTGGGGGGTTCCTTTTTTATAAGTATAGTAACTATACTTATAAAAAAGTATAGTATCATGGGCCCTCAAACCCTATTCTAATTATTACGGGGTTTGTGGGGTTTAGGGTAGGTTGTCGGGGTTTTCGAGATGTGGGCTGAATACTATCACGGTTAATGGGGTTTCATTAAGGGAGCGCAGGGTAGCAGGGCTTCGAGTCATGGGGTTTGGGACTTACCATTCGCATTGTCAGTGTTGGTGCTCGTACAAGCATTGCCACTAGCGTTGCTAGCTTTAGCCATCAGAATTACTTTGAGCTTTGTGGGACTAGACACGCGAGAGCAAGGGTTCTGATCACCACTGTTGTTAGTGGTATCGTCACCGGTAGCGGTGGCATGTAGCATTCTTATTGCGCAAAGTCCAGACCTGCATATTATTCTCACTATTGCTGTCTTCGTCACCTGCTGCCGCTGCTGGTGGTGTTGTTGTTGTCGTTGCTGCTGCTGTTTCGTTGGGTTTCTGTGGCGCAACTAAGGTTATTGCCGCTTCCTTCACCCTTTCCGGTTCCGCTAGTGCCAGTAGCAACATATAATGTGGAAACTGTCAGTCGTCCAGACGTGAACATTCCCGTTGTTCAGAGTGCTGCGAAGAGCACTTAAAACTGCCTGAAGCTCTCGGACAGTGTTGAGTGCAGGTATAGCACTCGCTTGGCAGAGTACTACCGCCGCCATCTGGATGCTCTGTGTACAGGCGCTTCGGATTTCAAGGAGGGTTTTTGTGTGGGATTAGGGCCTTTCGGTTTTTAAACGTTGTGCTGTGCATGATGTGAATGTGATGGACTTGCAGAACTTTACATGAGTATCTTAAGCCCTCCTGAATGTAAGTCGTACTCCTTACTCATATGGGAGTTTCCCAAAATAGGGGGTACCTCATTTTGGGGTCCTTATAATAAGGATCCTACTATTTAGGGTACCATATGAGGGTCCGCTACTTTTGGAAACTCCCATATAAGGGTATTGGGGCTCTGCATTGAAGCGGTCCTGGGAGCCGGATGGATAGCCGTTTTCGGGTCCCGTGGTTTCGGTGTTGGGGTGTAAGGCTAGAGATTCTGGATCTATCCGGGTCCAGTGATGCCGCGATAGTGGTGGAGTCGGCCATCAGCTTCTGTAGCATGATGGCCGGAGCCATCAAGACTGCTGGTGACTGAGTCCTCCTGGCAGATAATGATGATGATGAGACTGAGAACGAGGATGACCTTGATGATGTTGGCAATAGGCAGTCATGAGCCCTAAATCCTAAATCCTAAACCGCTTTCGAACCATTCCTTGAGCACTGACTGACTCCACGCCTCGTCAACTCCATGTTGAACACCTCAAAAGGTCTGTGAAGCTTGTCGATACTTTTGTCAGCCCTACCGGCTTGCCTTGGCTTGAGGCGCGCAGCTCCCTGGCAAACCTAGCGTCGAGATCGCTCGTCAGCTAGGCGCTTGGCTTTTCTGCACTTGTGGCGCCAGCACGGAAGAAGCCTTTCAGAGCAGCGCCGGATGCACCAGACCTCAAACTCCGAAAGCCAGTAAGCCCCAAGTCTCAGATCCCAAGTCCCACGCACCTATTCTGTTTCCCTTCTTCGTGTGGTTGCTCGGAGCTCGAGAACTGAACCTGATCGACCCTACAACCCCGATATGCCAAGAGAAGCGGATCCTGGAACATGAAGTTCAAAGCCTATCCCCTCATCCCAAACGGCCTTGGGGTTTAGGGTTATGCCGCTATGCCCTAAGCCCTCAACCCTCACGCACTCAAAGCCTTAGAAGGAGACCTGAACCCCGAACCTTCAACCTTAAGCCCTCAAACCTAAAACGTAGACCCTTAAGCCCAAAACCCTCAGCCGTTGAGCTCCGAGGCCTCTCGCGAACGCGGACTTCCTGAGCCGACCCGAAGCCCTGGAGGCCGTGAAGGAGGCGCGGCCCCCAAAACTGCTGCCGGGCCTGTATCCTATGTAGTAAAAGGGGGGAAGAGGGTTTAGGGTTTAGGGGGAGCCCGTAAAGGGGACCCTTCTTAACACTACTTCTGGCTCTCTGGAAAGGGACCTTATTGAGAGGGTTTATATCCTCAAGGGTCCCCCTG